CCATATTGAATCATATCAATATCAATCATATAGAATCATATCATATCAAATCATATCATATCTTATGCTATCCAATCCTACCCTCTCTATGTCCCAGTAGTGCACTGCTACTTCAAAACACCGTTATACCTACCTGCATAATGATTATGATTCAGAATTGAATATAATATGATAATATGATTGTATATTGAAAGTATACAACTAACGTATATAATGTTTCGCATCGTTGAACACAGAAGACTATACATGTTCATTTGAGCAAATACTCACAGCGTGGTTTGAGATCGCAGCAGATAGAATCAAAAACCGTAAACATAGTGACATAGTCAAAGGTCATAAGTCATGAGTCATGAGTCATAAGTTCATAAGTCATAAGTTCATAGTCGTAGTCGTAGTAGTCATAGTCTTGTCTCAGAAATAAACAGCTAACGAAATTAATTGATGATTAGTATCAATATTGAATAGTTACAAAGTTGTATGACATGAGTTGATTCGTATATTAATATAATAGTAGTTTGAAAGTTTCAAGTAAGTTAAACGTTATATTCATATAAATATATGAATATAAATATTGATATCATAAACTATAGATATCCTAGGTGTATGCATCGATGATATCGACACCAATCAACATTGCACACCTAGACACTTGCACATCGAAAGATCTTTCTCAAGAACTTTCTGAACAGCATCTGCTTGTCGTTCAAGGTACAGCTCAGCCACCGCGTTGCGAGCCTCACATTGAGATCTTGCTGTGCGATCTGTTGCATCAGCATCATGAATAAATGAGTGACCACAGATATGTATTTATACAGGGATAACAACTCTAGTATTATATAATTATATTATTATTATATTATAATTATATTATTTATATTATTATTTTATGTTATATTATATTATTACATTTAATTATATTATAATATTATATTATATTATATTATATATTTTTAAATTATATATATATAGTTATTTATTAATCATAATAAATTGTTTTAAACAATTAATTAAGGTGCAATTTAATCATAGTAATTCAATATTGCCCTTCTGTGTGTGTATTGATGTCTATTTGTTTGTTTCTACATGTTACATGTTGCACAAATCTATGATATGGTCTGGTACGATACTCACATACCATCTCATACCCACGTAAGTGCCAAGGTGCTCGTTGAACAAAGCTGGTAGACGCCCTGAACCAATATGCAGCGCTCGAAGTTGAGAATTGAACTGGCGAATGAGTTTGCCATGCAGAAGACTCCGAAATGCCATGCCCAAACCTGAAGCTGCGTATAAGTGCAAACGAAATGAAAACAAACAAACTCAAACATACATGCATGCCTGCATGCCTCACTGCAAACGGACTAACTGCATCTGCACTTGTCACACAACTCAGCAAACAATGAAGGAGAACAGGAATGCAACATTTAGATCTACAGGCAGTAATCTGCTTTCTTAAAATGAACAATGACTCAGACTCAATAGATAAGCTAAGTTCAAAAGAACAGTTCATTGCAGTTACACAGCAGAACAAAGGTGAATAAACTTTGGGAGTTTTCTTTGTATCATCCTGAAATTCCTACTATCCATGAACCTATTCCAAACACTTTCATTGTATCTTTCTTAACTAACAAAAGCAAGTAGTTTATGTTTGGCAGTGGCAGCAATGATATATTCGATTCTGATAATTCAATACATATACATTTTATATATTTACTGAATTAAATATCATATCATTATCATATCATAATATCAAAACATACCCAATCATATCAGAATCATATCGAATCATATCATATCATAAATCAAAACTCATATATCACATAATATCATGGAATATCATGTCATATCAGGATTCGATTCATTGATATGATTACACTTGAAGTGACTTGTTTGGAGCGACCTGCCAATTGCAACCAAGTCTCGCAGTTTTCAAAAGGCCTTGTGGTGTCCAGCGTTTGTGGCTTCCTTTTCCTTTGGCTTGCTTTCTAGCTTCCTTGGCAACACTGATGCAGGCACTTTGGAAAGAGTTGTTACTGATATACAGTATACAGTATACAGTATACAGTTTAAACTCTAAACAAACATTATAGATTGATCCAAACTCATACCGACAAATCAATATGATTGACTGATAATTAGTAATTCCATGAGTAAGAATATAGTTAGTTCTCATTTATCATTTATCGTTGAAAATAGTATGGCTAGTAATTAAAATAGCTTGTAATTTCGACTGTATACTGTATACTGTATACTGATACCGTACCTATAAATTTTAACTAACTAAAACTACAACCATTCTATACACCGATAGACATGGACTTTTATACAATAGCAAACTAATTAGACTATAGACTATAGACTATAGACTATAGACTATAGACTATAGACTATAGACTGTAGACTAGACATAGACGAGACCATTCTAGTAAGAACAATTCAATTTAACTATTTTAATTTAACTGAATTATAATTATGAAAACCCATCTCATGAATGATTCACCTTCAGTTGACTGAAATTAAGATGCTTGAATTCCAAGAGTATCCACTGCACCAAAAGAAAAACAACTGATCTGGCCTACTCCCTTACACTGGCAAGTATCTCCAACCAAATCTTTGTTTCGTAAAGCCATTCTGTTGATCTTGTCCTCCAGAATGGATTCACCTTTTGACTGTTTCTTCTTCAACTGTTTGATGACTTTGCTTGCACGGGCAAAAGCCATAAGTGCCTGAGTTCTGCTAGGTTTTGCTCAGAAGGATTTGGTGAGTTGTTGTTAAATGAAACCCATGTTCAACGTGCAAGCTTCATTCAAACAATGTGTGATTTTGATGATGGCAAACTGAAAAACGACCTTGTAGTGTATTGAGTTGTGAGTACAAAATGTGAAACTGAAACCTGAAGTTCAAGTTGCTTTAGAGCGATTCCCAAACGTTTTTGGCGGCGCTCGATTCCTCTGAAGCTGCACTTGCCCATCGTCCTGAGAGTGGTGTTTTTAGTGCTGTTTAGTGATCTGAAAACCGTGTAATCATCATATTTTGCTTTGTCATTGTCACTATGCCTATGTATGAAATGATATGATTCGATTCATGGTACTGAATCTTGTAACCATTGAGTTAGTCTCACTGGCCATTTGGGACAATGTCAATATCTACAAAGGCAAGCTCACAGTTTCAGATGTTTTCAGGAAAAACGGTCCTTAAGGAAGGGAAAATGAACCCGCCAAAACATGAGCCCAGTCACGTGTTCAGCTTCAACAGGTTCTACACGCTGTGCACGTTCAGCACGAACAATTTGCAGCAACCCAACAATGGAGCCATCCATTTGCATAAGCTTTAATGAAAGGCTATGGCTATGTTGTTGCTTATTGATTCTGTTGTTGTTGTTGTTGCTGTTGTTGTTGTTGCTTCCATAAGTCATGAATCATGAATCATGAGTCATTGGTTAGTAATTAGTCGTCATCTTAAGTTAAGTCTGAGTCTGAGTCTTAGGCTAAGATCTAGAATCAGAATCATAGATAGCTATCATTGTTTTCATCTATCTTTGGTAACCCTAACAAGTATAAATTATCATATCATATTATATATATATTATTATTATTATTAATATTATTATTATTATTAAACCCTTCTAACTTCTAACACTTATCTTATCTTACAAGAATATAAATACATAGACTATAGACTATAGACCATAGACCATAGACTATAGACTATAGACTATAGACTATAGACTGTAGACTATAGACTATAGACTATAATATAAATTATAAACTATATATTTTAAGTTCTTTTATGTGTTGATGGTAGGTGGTTACATGTACCATTGCCACTGACAGCCAACTTGTTTGTTGGCCTGGCACTGAAATTTTAGTGGGTCGGCCGGCAAACGACACCCAGGCAGCATTGCAGACACAGATTCATAAGTTCATGATTCACTCACAAACCAATTGCACAAGTAAAAAACAAATCAACAGATGACATAACAGGCGGAATACAATAAAATATCTCATATCAAATATCATGATGTCATCATACAAATCAAATCATTTACCGTTTACCATTTACCATATCAAATCATATTCATTCATATTCATATCACATCAAATCAGCACATCGCATCACATAAACTATGCACAAACATGCATGTCAAGCAACTTCTGGTGTGTCTGCATGTGGCTCTATGTATGTGGCAATGGCATGCATGTGACAGGCAGCAGCACCATCAATCTCCAATATATATATATATATGCAAGATCAGACAATCATCACGTGTGAAAACACATCAAACACACACACACATACCGCACCAGACCACAGACAGACACAAACAAACATATGCAATCACACAGATGTAAAATGATGTAAACACTATCTCTGCGATACATTTTTATGTAAGCATACATGTTGAACATGTACTAACATATGTAACCACAAATGTCAAGCATGCACGGATATATGTAACCACAAATGTCAAGCATGCACGAATATATGTAACCACAAATGTTGAGCCCGTAATGACAAATGCAAACACATATGTAAAGAAATGTGAACACAAATGTGGATATACGCAAGCATAAATGTTATTATATGCAACCACAAACGTTTTAATACGCAATGTGAAATGTAAATAAATGCAAGCATATATGTTTTGTTGCGCTGGTATAAATGTAAATAAATGCAGTAATATATGCAGTACATGCACGTAGGCCTCCGTAGAGGGTCTCTAGAGAGGGCCACCAAAGAGCTTTTGGATTTAGCTAAGTTATAGGTCAGTAAGTCACCCCATTTATGGTTAGTTATTGAGTTATAACACGTTATAACCGAATAGAAATGACTCTAAACTGGTTGTTGGTTTGGAACATTTTTTCCATATATTGGGAATTGGAATAATGATTCCAACTGACGAAGTCATATTTTTCGGAGGGGTAGGTATACCACCAATTAGTTTAAAATCACTGAACAAAAAATCGGGCCAAAAAACCTGAAAGCACAGCCAGGTGGTTATGGTGGTACACCAGCCGCGCTATTCGCTCTTCACCTTGTTCGACAACGTGCTGCTGCTGGGCATGGGGGGTCGCACAGTGTATCTGGGCGAGTCCACCGGAGCCCTGCCGTACTTCCGCGAGTTGGGCTTCAAGATGCCCGAACACGAGCGCCTTAGCAAAATTAGTGCAGGAAATGGGATGTAATAATATATCATATATATATATATATTATTTACAATAATATTATAGAAGGTGATTTAAGGTGCAATGAAAAACATATTATAAATAAATTCAAGCACCATTTTTTTGAGTGAGTAAATGGGATGAATCGCCCATTTTCAAGTGAGTAAATGATATGGAACTGTAAAAATTTCAGGAATTGCATTATGAAGTCATCACCTTTATGAAGTCATCACCTCTACATTCAAAATATTGAACTTCTGGTGCTTTTGAGCCATTATCAAAAAGAAGTTTGAAGGTCTAACTTCCGTGTTGCGGATGGCAATGGATGTGCAATGGCTGTCATAGAGCAATGGATGTCATGAAGCAATGGATGTCATAGAGTAATGGATGTCACAAAGCAATGAATGTATAATGACTGCCATAGAGCAATGACTGCCATAAAAGCAATGGATGTCTTAAAGCAATGGATGTCACAAAGCAACGGATGTCACAAAGCAATGGATGTCACAAAGCAATGGATGCCACAAAGCAATGAACGGCACAAAGCAATGGCTGTCATAGAGCAATGGATCTCACAAAGCAGTGAATGTCACAGAGCAATGAATGTCACAGAGCAATGGATGTCACAATGCAATGAATGTGGAATGGCTGTCATAGAGCAATGGATGTCATAAAGCAATGGATGTCATGAAGCAATGGATGTCACAAAGCAATGGATGTCACAAAGCAATGGATGTCAGAAAGCAATGAATGTGCAACGGCTGTCATGGAGCAATGGATGTCATAGAGCGACGGATGTCACAAAGCAATGGATGTCACAAAGCAATGGATGCCACCAAGCAAAGAACGTCACAAAGCAATGGCTGTCAAAGAGCAATGGATGTCACATAGCAATGGATGTCACAAATCAATGAATGTCACAGAGCAATGGATGCCAAAAAGCAATGGATGTCACAAGAACAATGAATGTCACAAAGCAATGGATCTCACAAAGCAATGGATGCCTCAAAGCAATGAACGTCACAAAGCAATGGATGTCATAGAGCACTGGACGTCACAAAGCATTGGAATTCACAGAGCAATGGGTGTCACAGCAATCGATGTCACAGAGCAATGGATGTCACAGAGCAATGGGTGTCACAGAGCAATGGATGTCACAGAACAGTGGATGTCACAAGAGCAACGGCTGTCACAGAGCAATGGGTGTCACAGAGCTATGCATGTCACAGGGCAATGGATGCCACAGAACAGGGATGTCAAAGCAAAGGGATGTCAAAGCAAAGGGATGTCAAAGCAAAGGGATGTCACAGAGCAAAGGGATGTCAAAGCAAAGGGATGACCAAGCAGACAGGCTTGATTTTCATAATTTGAACTTTCAGACTTTGAAGGAAGTCTCGCACGAAAGCCCCGTTTTCACATTTGCCATTTTCACTTTTAGAGGGAAATCTCGCACAAAAGCTGCTTTTTCACATCTTCCACTTTCAGATTGTGAGGGGAAGTCTCGCACGAAAGCTGCTTTTTACACAGGGAAGTCTCGCACGAAAGCTTCGTTTTCACATCTTCCACCTTCAGATTTTGAGGATGCCTCGCACAAACGCTTTGTTTTTACAATTGCCGCTTTCAGATTTTGAAGGGGGGTCTCGCACGAACGCTTCGTTTGCACATCTTCGATTCCACTTTCAGATTTTGAAGGAGGTCTCGCACGCACGAACGCTTCGTTTTCACATTTGCTACTTTCAGATTTGGAGGGAAGTCTCGCACGAACGCTTCGTTTGCACATCTTCCACTTTCAGATTTGGAGGCAAGCCTCGCACGAGCTTCGTTTTCACATTTGCCACTTTCAGATTTTGAGACGTCTCGCACGAAAGCTTCGTTTTTCACATCTTGAACTTTCACTTTTTTGGAGCTGATGATTTTCATTTTAAAATTCCTTTAATAAGTGCTGGAAAATCGTCTTTTTTTGCCTTTGGCGTCGAAATCCGGTTTTGGAGCTGCAATTTCTGACGCTGTTGCATGTAGTTCTATTGTGGTTTGCAAGTCAGCCTTTGCAAATCGCATTGTAATGGCTGCGTGAAGGTTGCTTGGAGCCGCGGATGTGTGCGTAATACTATTGTCTTTTGCAGCTGGAGATCGTACATCGTATTGGAGCGTCTGCATCAATGTTGCGATAGTGATTTGTCAGCAGATTTTCTCAGTTTAAAAGCTTGCTGTGTGCAAAATCTTCTCTGTGTAAAAGCTTCTGTGGAAGGGCTTCTCTGTGTAAGAGCTGGCTGTGTGTAAAAGTGTAAAAGCTGGCTGTATGTAAAGCTTCTGTGTGTAAAAGTTTGCTGTGTGTAAAAGCTTCTCTGTGTAAATGCTTCTCTGTGTGCCAGTAGTACCGCACAAGGCGGTGGCGGAAATTTCAAACATAGGAAACCTATAGGAGAGGTTGGTTGTTGTGACCCACGGATGGCAGAGCGAATCCACTGATGGACCGAAAGCTGGTTGAAGTTGTGTTTTTTGGAGTGGCTGCAACGGTCGCAGTGGTCACCTCACCACAACTGTTGGATGTAGTGTGTGGTGTAGTGCAGTTGTAGTTGTAGGTGTAGCGTAGTGGAGTTGTAGTTGTAAGTTGTAGTTCTAATGTGATGTAATTATATAGTAATTAGTGTAGTGTAGTTGCAGTTGAAGTTGCAGTTGTAGCTGTGGTGTAGTGTAATTAGTGTAGTATATTGTAGCGTATTGTTGTGTACTGTAGTGTTGTGTACTGTAGTGTGGTATAGTGTAGTGTAGTCTAGTGTAGTGTACTGAAAAGTAGTGTAGTTGTAGCTGTAGTTGTAGTGTATTGTAATTAGTATAGTGTAGCGTAGTGCAATGTAGTGGTAGTTCTAGTTGTAGTTGCAGCTGCAGTTGTAGATGCAGTGTGATGTAATGTAATTAGTGTAGCGTAGTGTTGTGTGGTGTTTTGTAGTGTTGCGTAATGTAGTGTAGTAGTTGTAGTTGCATGTATATTTGTAGTTGTAGCGTTCTGCAGTGTAATTAGTGTAGTGCGGTGTAATGTAGTATAGTTGTAATAATTGTAGTTGTAGATTTGGTGGTGGTAGTAGTAGTAGTAGCAGTAGTAGCAGTAGTAGTAGTAGTAGTAGTTGTTGTTGTTGTTGTAGCTGTAGCTGTAGTTGTAGTTGTAGTTGTCAGTCTATCTACCTAATCAATCTATCAATCTATCAATCTATCTATCTATCCATCTATCTATCTGATTATCTATCGATCGATCCATCTATCTATGTATCTATCTATCTATCTATCTGCAAGCTTGAAAACGCAGCAATTCTGCGAGACCTCCTCAACATTTGAACTTGACAACGTCAAAAACGAAGCAATTCTGCGAGACTTCCTTAATTTTTCAAGTTGACCACATCAAAAACAAAGCAATTCTGCGAGGCTTCCTCAATTTTCGAAGCTGGCAACATAAAAAACGAAACAGTTCTGCGAGACTTCCTTCAAAAATGGAAAGGTGAGTGCAGAGCTGACAGCCTCGTACCAATGCGTTTTGCGATTTTTCCACTGCACCTGTCTAAAGTACTGCGCCTGCCACGAAAAAGTGAGGTCAGGTCATACGAAGTGCTGCACCTGTCACACAAAATCATCTTCCCAAAACTGAAGATCTGATGCCCCAAAATGCAACCCCTCTCAGGAAATCAGCGCCCGGACCTCCTAACAGCTCTGGTGAACATGTCTCTTGTATTGCGGCTTCCACGGAAAATGCCTCTTTGCAGATCCTCTTCAAATGTCCCACGCCTCCCATTGTTTTTGGAAATGCTACGAAACCCTCATGTTTTGCTCACTTTAGACACGGTGCACAATCCCTTGCGCCTGCCACGCGAAACGACATCTGAACGTCAAAAAGTGGTCCGGGCATGTGGTGTTTTTAACATGTTGACTTCGAAATGTACTTCGCGCCACAACTGCGTTTTCGACATCGCAACTTCCAAAAGTGGTCCGAGGCTGGTGTGTTTTGTGCATTTTGACTTCGAAATGTGCTTCGCGCCACAACTGCGTGCACTTTTTCGACATTGCAACTTCCAAAAGTGGTCCGAAGCTGGTGTGTTTTGTGCATTTTGACTTCGAAATGTGCTTCGCCCCACAACTGCGTGCACTTTTTCGACAGCGCAACTCCTAAAAGTGGTCCGAAGCTGGTGTGTTTTGCACATTTTGACTTGTGAAATGTGCTTCGCGCCACAACGGCGTACAATTTTTCATCTCTCATCTGGCCAGCTGGCTCCGCACCCGCCGCTTTAGCGAGCCTACTTTTCGACCCTCCAGAGCCACAAATCATTGGAAAAACAGCGTTTCGCGACTTTCCTACCTTTTCGCGCATCTGGATCTTCTTTCTTCTGAGACTTTCTCTTTCTTCTTCTCTTCTCTTCGCTGAGTCTTCCCATCTCTGCTTTTCATCTGTCCATATTGTCGGAAGTTTGACTTCTAAACTGCCTTCGAAAAGCTTTCCGTGCGCAAAAGCTTCTCTGTTTAAGATCTTCTCTGTGTAAAAGCTTCTCTGTGTAAAAGCTTGCTGTGTGTAAAAGTTTGCTGTGTGTAAAGGCTTCTGTGGGTAAAAGCTGTGTAAAGGCTTCTGTGTGTGAAAACTTTCTGTATGTAAAAGTTTTTCTGTGTAGGAGCTTCTTTGCGTCAAAGCTTGCTGTGTGTAGAAGCTTCTCTGTATAAAGGCTTCTCTGTTTAAAAACTTCTGTGTAAAAAAATATCTGTGTAAAAAATTCTGTGTGTTAAAAAATCTGGGTAAAAGTTTGCTGTGTGCAAAAACTTGCTTTGTGTAAAAGCTTGCTATGAATAAAAAATTCCCTAGCTCTGTGTAAAAGCTTTTGCGTGTACAAACTTCTCTGTGCATGTACAAACTTCTCTGTGCAAAAGCTTGCTGTCTGTAAAAGTTTCTCTGTGTCAAGTCTTCTCTGTGGAAAGCGTAGGGGTTGCTTGCTTTGGCCCCGAGATCCGTTTTTGGAGCAGGTTTTGGGCCAGAGAAAAGGTGAGATGATTTGAGAGTGCGCTGAGAAGAGGTGAGATGAGGTGAGACGAGCTGACAAGAGCTGAGATCAGCTGAGTAGATGTGAGAAGAGCTCAGAAGATGTTGGAAGAGGAGAGAAGAGATGAGAACACATAAGATGAGCTTACATGAGCTGCGGAGAGCTGAGAAGAGTTGAGAAGAGCTGTGAAAATCTGAAAAGCTGAGATAAGCTGAGATGAGATGAGAAGAGATGCACAGCCTTTGCTCCGCTCTATAGGCTATAAGCGTTTCAAATTTGAAACTTCCGCCCTCGGCTTGCCCGGGTAGTACTTGTATAATTATGGGAACAGTTGGGACGAACCCTTCCAACTCTTCAGTTGGGATGTTCATTAATCCATTTAGCATTGATGGGATGTCCCAGCCCTGGATCCGGCAGTTGCGGGCGCCACAGCCAGGAACCCAGCAGATTGGTTCATGGATGTCATCAGTGGCAAGGTGGAGAATGCAGGCGAGCCCAGCTTAAAGTTTGGGCGCCTGGCGCAGAAATGGTGTCTTGGAGGATTTGTTTTAAGCGGTGTTCCGCAAGACGGCTTTCAGTCATGGAAGAACAGATCTATAAATAATGGATGTGGATGGGGCGTTTTTTATTGCCAAGTTGCACTACTGGAGTGGACCTGGGCATAATTATAATTTGTGAGCCAAGTGGCAAGAGATGTTCGGTATCCGTGCCCTATCCATTGCACAGACAAGAACACAGTGACCCCAAAAAGAACAGGCTACCAGACTCAGGAAACCATGTATATTCAGTTGATAGGTCATGACAGGCCATGTGAATTCAATTTAATTCAAAAAACCGTCTCGGGGAATACAAATATGATCCAATGTACCCATGCCCGTGATTGGCATGTTCCTCCCGAAGGCGTTTTTGAGGGGTTCACCATCCAAAAGGTACGTTCGCAAGAGATACACGTAGCAACCTTTCGGCGTACAAGTGTGGCCAAGCTGGACAACGGTAAGACATATATTAGATTAGACAATCAACCGACCCTTGTTTTTTCAAGTTGAACCTTTCTTGGGACAAGTGGCGAGACCAGATGAAACAAGACCAGATGAAACAACGTCAATCAACAGCTGGATCAGGACAACTCAGGCCAGAAATACAGAAGAACGGTTTCCTGACCTTTCCTGAATCGTTCATAACCACTTGAATTAACTGAACGGTTGGTCGGTGGGATTGAAACCTCTTTGAAAAAACGGGATGAGGTCTCATATACGTCAAAGACTATAGACTGTTTGCCAACCATTGTGATTTAGCAGTTTTAATTCTCTATGGAAAGTGACCATTTTTTTAAAATGCATATCATATATTTTAATATATTTTATATAGTAGGTAGGTAAATTTAAATGATATTGGCCATGTTCATCAATTTTCCATAGCAATGTTCTCCCTTGGCCTTTTCTTACCCAGTGCTTCCTTAAGGTTGGAGAAACGTGGCGAAGTCACGGGCCGGGAAGCCTTCAACACCGAATTCCTACAGGCCCACGATGACAGGCACGGGTCACGAAGTTACACGGTGGGCCCCAAGGGCCCCTGAAGTTAAGTTCTAAGTGATCCCATCCACCCAATCTGGGTAAATTATAAGGACCTCACTGCGACCGAACCCTGGAATCATTGTTAATTAATAAAGGCAATCATCCCCAAATGGCCCAACAATTAATTATCAACAATTCAGGGAATTACTATAATTTGCCCAGAGCAAATGTAAAACACCCCCTAAATGGTCCCAACATGTCCTAAATATGTGTAAATCCCCTAGTGACCTTAACCATAGTTTCCAGGAGGTGTTCAATATTAGGGGAAAGGGATCCAGGGATTGCGATGTAAAATCACAAACAGTTGAGCCGGCGATCCTCCAGTTTGGGGGCCGATCCCCAGGCTGCTTCAAGAGCTCGTAGATAGCCGTTAGATGTGCAGGTCCAGGTTCCTTACTCCCATTCTTCTGGGCTTCACTGCGCTAATTGCTGACCTCTTGGCTCCTCACTTCAGATGTCGCGGCCAGGCATGTGCTGTCCAGTGCCTTGAATGAGAAGTTGAACAACTTAAGCGTCAGCAATGATTCCGACAATGTCACAGAGGATCAGTTCATGGAAATGCTTCAGCAGCTCGGCAGGGGGTTGTTGGTGGTCCCATGGGATCCCATGGGTCTGCACTTTCCCCGGAAGATAGAAGTGTGAAAGACGGGAATTGCAGCACAGATCCAAGGTGAAAATCATGGGCTAAGGCCTGAGGGTTCATATGCAGTGAAAAAACTCAGATTCTAAGCACATCCACATGGGTTGGATGGTGGGGTTCCATGAAGCCTCTGCTCATGGCTGCGCCCTGGTGCTGACTCAGTCCTGGAAGAATTCAGATCAAGACCGAGTGCCCTGACCCCGGTGCCAACCCCCCCAGTTAAGTTTGTTGGTTCATAAACGCCATTATATAACATTATAAAACTATGAACCCTTAGAATTCACCTAGTTATTTGCACCAACTTAGCGATTTCGTCGTTTCGGGGCATCACCAGCCGTGGGCGCGAGTAAATTTATTCCGGGCTAGGGTGCAGAGGCAACAATGTCGATTGACGGTCTCCGGTATCACTACTAGGCCATTGGTTGCTCATTTTCACTGCTGGGACTCTCACGCGCTACCCTGGCAATGGAGAGTTTCCCCGTTTCTAAATGTTTTTCCCAGCTATGAAAGCTCCATTCATGAGGATTCACATTGCCATGTTTGATTACCGGGCAAGAAACATGTTCACATAATTGTATTGCAGGCGATTCTTTCTCACCTGCAGCTGGGTGAGTACCTGCTGCAAATCTGAGGTCGATGAATGATTCAAAGTTCTCTGCACCTTGGACCAAAGTGTTCGACGCGTCCTAGGGTGGCGTTTCGAGAATTGGATGGCACAGGGGTGGCTTGGGCTAAATCATCTACCCCACAAATATGATCAAATATGAATGGGTAATGTGGTAAGCCCAACAATAAAACCATCCCCAAAATCTATCAAAATCTCCATTCCTATGGGTGCTCTCAACCATCCACTTGAAAGGTAGGTTTATTATAAGGTTTGTTATTGGGTTTCCCACATTACACACCACTGTACTCATTCCATGCGTTTCTTTGCCTTTCGGCCTTGGTGTGAGGAGATGTCTCAGCCAGCACTTTGTGAGTTGAAGCAAAGGATCGGCTTCCAAGATGGCAAGGCAAACTTCGCCTCGGCAAGGGATATGGAGAGATCATGTTGTACCTACAGTGTACAGAACATTGCGAGAATTTGAATATCCTTTTTCCCCCAAAAAAAATCAGAGAGGGTTCCCACCATTCAGCAAGCTGTATCAGTAGATTAAAATCACTAATATACACCAATATACACATTCATAATCGTTCAAAGATTTAATAGACCAAACCGGACCGGCCCCTCTCTTAAAAGGACATTGGTGTATGGGATTGCCCCAATGTGCATCCCGCGTACCCTGCTTTGATCCTCATTCAGGCAGGCAAACCAGCTACAACTGGCTCCATTTTTGGGCGTGTTCGCCCGCATTGACTACCATGCATCCGTTCAACGGGCCATTTTTGTGGCTATTTGTGCGAGCTAAAGGTGTCTAGACACATGCAAACTCCAAAACATTGCAAACCGCGGGAAGCCTAAATTCTGGTTTATAGAAATCCCAAAATAGAACAAAATAGATAGAAAACTTGCAAACCTGGAAATATTTACATATGACGTAAAATATCATTCACAATTTACCGCCCTGGAAACATGTTTTCCACTTTTGGGGGGTTCTAGGCATGCCCGTTTATATACCTATTACATCCCATTAAATCCCATGACCATCAAAATTGCCAATTAAATTGGCATCTGGATGGGTGAACCATGCGGCCTGGGCGCCGCGTTTTCTTTTTTCATGCCTTCTCAAGATCATTAACAGTTCAAGCTAGAGATAGTTACTATGTACAGCATATACGCACATATCATATAATCATATAAATATATGCAGACACAGGTAATGAGAGATATGTATATACCAACATAAATAAATAAATATATATATAATACCCTTGAATACACATACACATCCAAAACAACACATATAATTCATAATATATGCCCATGAAAAATCCCAGTCTACGTACGCATCCGGCATCCGACTGCAGGTGAGTCGGGAAGCTCTGGTGCGTTATTTCCTGGGCATGCGTGGCTCCTTCTCCCATGATGCCCTCACTGAGAGCCTGGTGTCAGCACCTTGGTCCAAACAATTCTCGGAGAAAACGCATGGGGACCACCGGGATTTCACCAAAACATGAGGATGCCTAGTGGGCCTGGTGGATATACCCAGAAAAACACCCCATTAGTATAGCCTCTGGTAGTTTGTTGCAGCTATGGTAATTCAACGGCCCATTGAGTTTGATCATTTGTGAACAATGGTGATGTTTTTTGGTTCACAAACGGTGACATTACCAGTGGCTCGACCTAGATATTAAAAGATGGGGCGGGTATAAAATCAACGGTCATGAGAATTGGACAAAATCAAATTCAATCTACACAACCCAACAATATGTGTGTGTTTGTGGAAATGGGGCAATTCAGACCTAGAACATGCGTCCATGCGTAATGGATAATCATGGATAATCAGCATGTCCTATTCGCTGCCGGGGAGTCGCCCGGCCATCTTTGATAACCAAAGGCTAGGAACACGGGTCGCTGCTGCGGACCCCTCACTATAGTTGGCTTATCAACCCTGCCAACCGTAGATATATTTCTACCAGAAACACACGAATCATTGTCAGTTGGCCGTTTCAAAGATTGCTCATGACATTTCAAGACATTTTTTTGATGATGATCCTTATTGAGCCCCATTGGGGCCCAGATTTTCGGGGCCTCAGACTCAACAACCAGTTTTGTAGTTCTCAACGCAGGAAATGGCTTCCAGTATGGGCGTCTCCGAATCCTCAATGTCCACGGCCAACTCGAAGGGAATCGTTGTCGATCGATGCTGGGATGGCAGGTATTTTTTTGTAGCCAATGAATCAGGGGGAAGTTATAACGACCTCACTGGGAGTCACTGGAATGATGGAAATTGTAAGGGGTATCTATCCCAAAATAATCTGAATTTTCGAGATTCTCGGCTAATATGGATTTGTTTAGAACTCCAACTCTGCCATTTTCATTGGAAACATGATGAACATCCTCAGCAGTGGGGGAATTCACTTTCAGACACACCCATATGTAGAAAATAGTTGCGCGAAGCACTAGAGGGAGGACAAAGACAGGTAAGTCAAACACCAGTGAAACAAGCTGCTTAACCGGACTTGTCCCGTATGTCCTATGGAAAGAGGTTCGTTTTGCGTTTAATTTGGTGCAACAAATTAAGGCATCCTCTATCCCAACTATTCCCAACTGACATATTTTTCAGGGGGGTTAAAACCACCAACCAGTGTATTGTTTGCGGTTTGATCACTTTAAGTGACAACGTTGTGAAGCTCCGTCATGACGACAGAGTCGTCCAAGATGCCAAGCGCTTTTCCCACTGATTGATTGGTGGAGTCATGACACTGGTTGAGGTTTCCATAAATGGATGAGAGAGAATGGAAAATCCATTTACCATCTGGTTATTTAACATGGCCATGGAAAATCACAATTTTTAATAGGTAAACCATCTATAAATGGGCCATTGTCCATGGCTATGTTAAATAACCAGAGGGTAAATGGATTTGGGGTATCCCCATTTTAGGAAACCTCCATTTATGTAAAACTGTCTTGTGGTTTCAATGATTTTCAATGTGTCTTCCCTTCTACCGTCTACGAATCCTGCGGCGCCTTGTCGTCCATGCCATCTCAAATTGTCACCCCACATGCGATTGCCTCATGCTTACGGTTATGGCCCTTTACCAGTTTTAAGTCACTTATAACCCCATGTATGAAATCCCAAGTTACAGCCATAAACATCATTGCTTTCTAGGGCAAAAGGTTTGCATGCAGCATCCCCCGGCACCATCCGGCAACCCACGGCTTGCGCCGACACCAGGGAGCATGTTCGGCAAGCGGGCCCGGTTTTGCTTCCAGTATCCTGTGCTGGTGCATCAGAACGTGATTCGATGGATGCGAAGCTGGAGGTCCCCTGACACGTTAAGCAGATTTCCAGGCTGCACCAGAAGAACTATGAAAAACTGATGTGTGATGATTGATATTGATTTATGTATGTTTTGAGATGTTGAATGATTTATGATGATTAATTTATGGTTGATGTTTAAGCACCAGAACAACTATTGGTCTCAAATTTGATTTTGAATGATTTTGATATTTACGTGTCATTCTTCCCAATGTGCTTGGGTGGTTTGCTCAGCCGTGTCCACAAACCTCCCAGCATACTTCCTTGGAAATGCAGGTAGCACTATAATGTGGGCATGCCAGCTATCAGCTAAGAATCATGACCTTCACCCGCATGTCAAATTGATCCTTGCGACTTCGTGGAAATTTGCAATTCTTTCCAGCCATTGTTGCAAAGATGTTTTTGAAGAAGCCAGGGTGCTTGATGTACCCGCTGGTACACTAACATAGCTATAGAAAATCACCATTTCTTACAGCTAGATCAACTATAGATGGGCCATTTTCCATAGCAAACTGTTAGTGCAAACCAGAGGGTATCGGGGCCCAGGCACAAGGCTTTCAGCACCTTTTTAGTGGCTGGCGCTGCGGTGATCTTTGGTGCACAGTGCCAGGCGAGTCGCGCCCCCGGCCGGGTTTATCATGGTCCCGTAGACCTCATTGATGAAAATCAAGGGTTTGATTGAGGAGCCCTACTCCTTGTGAAATTCCATGAATACTCTCAATGATTTCTATGATTGAGTCAATATGTTTTGGCTGTTCCGGGTGTACCCCACTAATTATTGTTGATGATCATCAAGTGTTTCATACAAAGACTAGTGGATCCCAACACGTCATGAACCAAACCGGTGAACCATCGGCCCCCAGAACAGCTGGTGGAATTTCTCTGATCTTAAATAGGATCTCGCCATTTTGGAGCCGCGGATTTTTTTTTTTGACATGTGCAGCTTGGGATTTTACACTCAACATGTCCGGGATGTTTTTTTAGGACCAGGACCAGGAGGAGAAGAAATTAGTATCCATATGCTCCATGTATGGTATAATTATTTACCTACATTTGGGTGATTTTAAGGGCAAAATGTTGGTAAATATTCCATACATGGAGCATCTGGGGTAGTGTAAACCAACAAGGCGAACATGAAACGAGGATCATGGGCGCCCCGCCCCAGCCGCCCCGGGCAGGACAAGCTGGAAATTGAAAACATCCTATGTCCACTGTACCTTGGTCCGGCGAGTCGTTTGAGTTTAGGACATCTCTATGATACTTGATGATCTTGATATATCTTGATGGATTTACCCTCTGGTTATTTCATATATATATATAATATATATATAGCTACGGAAAAACGGCCCATGTTTAGACAATTTATGACGATTTACCGATTTACCTATTCAAAATGGTGATTTTCCGTAGCTACGTTAAACTACCAGCAAGCAAATGCACATTTGGATACATTTGGGTCATGACAATGGGGCACAATCAATGTGTGGCATTTATCATGACATGAAGATCATGGAATGGGATTTCCTTCAGGTACCGAACCATCTCCTGTGTAAAGATCATACTTTCAAGGCGGGGTTTGGTAAAGATCGCATCCCATTTTCCAAGTGTTGATTTTATCAGTCTATAATAGTTTCCTGGCCAACAAAATCTTCATTTTGTGGGCTTAAAATCTGCTCCCCAGGCTTGACCATCAAGTTTACTACCCACTTACTAGTCTTTAAAAGATCGTCCAAGTCGGGATTCTTGTTGGAAGAGGACCAGGACACCCTTAGATTTTGACCCTGATAAAATCAATCGATGCTGCAGATTTTTCCAGTCTCTCCTAGAATTGGTTTACAGGATTTTTTCTTTAGGCAAACCCTTTATCCATATTTCGTGTTAAGATGCATGATTTCCTGCAAGATTTTCCAACCCATCCATCCCTTTATATCCCTTTTCATCTCAGGAAAATCAATTTGTCCCACTTAGCCTTGGGCTTGATGACGGGCATCGCCTGTTTGCCCATCTTCGGTGCAGACCGACCCATGTTTTGGAGAGAAAGTGCCAGTGGTGTCAGGGTTTCCGCGTTCTTCTTGGCAAGGGTCACTGTTGCTTGGCATCCGATAATTTTCTTGTCTAAATCTAATGGTGTTTGGTAACGTCAAAAAGGCAACAACATGTTTTAGTCAAAAAACATAGAAACCCATATGCAATTGTGTTTATCAATTGTTTTGCTCTGTTTGCTGTGTTTATCCATGTTTTTTCCCAGTGGAGAATTGATCATATGTATAACATGAGGGAATCTCCATGAATTGTCCAGTGAAGAATTGATCATATGCATAAAATGAGGAAATTTCCATGAAACAATGCGGCCACGCCTTGTTTATGTTCCCTTTTGATGTTTGGGACGCCCTGGAGAAACAAACAGCCTTGAATCTCCAGTGATTATGTTTGGGTTCTTGATGTAATTTGAGTTTGCAGCTGAGATCTTCGTTTCGGTTTAATGCAGATTTTCCCACCCAACTTGGGTGCACTGATCATGAATGACAAATTTCCTTTTCATATTGGTTGGTTGATTACTAGAGGGGTTGACGGGTAAGCTCCTTCCCTGCCAATAGGTTGTATGTAATGACAAATGGTGAAAGTAACAACAGTTCCAATGTGCACCTCCCAGTTAGTAAGTGCTTCATCATTCATATAATAATCCATATCTGGTTGGTGGTTTCAAACATTTTTTATTTTCCATAATATACGGGATAATCCTTCCCATTGACTAATATTTTTCAAGATGGTCAAAACCACCAACCAGATATAATAATCCCATACATATATATATAACTGGGCATTTCAGTCGACTATTGTTCTATGGTTCTTACCTACCACTTAAATTATCCATGCCTTGGATGCTTCACGGACTCGTTGCGTTTTTTACCGAACCGAGGTGTCTCTCTTTGACGTCCTGGCCTGGTGCTATCTCTTCACCAAGATCTGGATCCTGGCTGCTAGGGCCCCCTGCTCCTACTGGCTCCACAGCTGCATCATTACGCAATGGTAGATGATTGTCATCTGTGATCTTAACGGTTAATTATTTAATATTATTTACTTACAGTAAGTATGAAATGTATGAAATGTCTGATTAACTATTGTTTCTTTATTATCATGGCATGCGGTATTTTTGTGTGAATGATTATTTTTTGATCTTTTTATATTCTTACTGTGTATTATTGTATGTTACATGTTTGTTTCACTGTTTGTTTTTCTTCAAACAACCACTATGTGTCTATCAGTCAAAGAAAAATGTTGTGTATCATCATGTGTTATCATCGCTGTCATGATCATTATATAATGCTTACATTGTCATTACCATTGTATCTTTTGTTGTTGTTCTTTTATAATAACTTTCAAAGAGATAGCACAGCAACTTTCAAAGAGATAGCACAGCAACTTTCCAAGAGATAGCGCAGAAATTTGTTCCTATGCTTGTCCGATTCTATACTTTGCTATCTCTTTGGTGGCCTAATATACATATATGTATTAACGTAGGATCCTGATTAGTGTAGGTACACCCCCCCCCAACAATTTTTGGATCCAGAATAGTGTGGAAATTTCAAGGGACCGGGTCCAGAATAGTCTGGAAATGAAAAAAACGATAGATTTCAATTGATTTCAATTGAGTTTCAAATTGATTTCAATTGATTTTCAATTGATTTCAATTTACTTTCAATTGATTCCAATTTACTTTCAATTGATTCCACTTTACTTTCAATTGATTTCAATTGATTATCAATTTACTTTCAATTGATTTCAATTGATTTTCAAATTGATTTCAATTGATTTTCAATTGATTTCAATTTACTTTCATTTGATTTCAATTGATTTTCAATTGGTTTCAATTTACTTTCAATTGATTTTCAATTGATTTCAATTTACTTTCAATTGATTTGCAAATGATTTCAATTTATTTTCAATTGATTTCAATTTTCTTTCAATTGACTTTCATTTTACTTTCAAGTGATTTCAATTTACTTTCAGTTGGCTTCAATTGACTTTCCATTGATTTTCAATTGATTTCAAGTTACGTTCAATTGATTTTCGATTGGTGCCAACTTACTGTCAATTTATTTTCAATTGATTTCAATTTAGTTTGAATTTGTTTTCAATTGATTTCAACCTACTTCAATTGACATCCCAAAGTAATCCCATAGACGTATCATAGAAATATCATGGAAATCCCATAGGAATCCCACAGAAATCCAATAGAAAGATCATAGACACAACATGGAATAGCATAGGAACCACAAAGAACTCCCATAAGAATTCCCATAGTAATCCCATAGACATATCAAAGAAACATCATGGACATACCTTGGAAATCCCACAGGAATCCAATAGAAATCCCACAGGAATCCAATAGAAACCCCATAGAAATATCATAGAAACATCATCGACATACCATAGAAATCCCACAGGAATCCAATGGAAATCCCATAAGAATACCATAGAATTCCCATGGCATCCCTTTAGAAATCCCATAGAAATCCTCTATAGAAATATCATAGAAACATCGTGAAAATCCCATAGAAATCCAATGGAAATCCTATAGACATCCTTTTAAAACCCCATAGGAATCCCATAGAAATACCATCGGCATCGCATAGAAATCTAATAGTAGTCCCAAAGAAATATCATAGAAATACCATGGAAATCCCACAGGAATCCAATAGAACCCCCATAGAAATATCATATAACCACCATAGAAATTCCAAAGAAACCCCATGGAATTCCCAAAGAAATACCAAAGAAATCCTCTAGAAATATCATAGAAGTACCATAGAAATCCTTTTTAAACCCCATAGGAATCTCATAGAAATATCGTAGGAATCCAATAGAAAGATCATAGACACATCATGGAAATCCCACAGAAATCCCATAGAAAGATCATAGATATAACATGGAAATAGCATAGGAACCACAAAGAAAACTTATAAGAACTCCCATAGTAATCCCATAGAAATATCATAGAAACATCATGGAAATACCTTGGAAATCCCACAGGAATCCAATAGAAATTCCACAGGAATCCAATAGAACCCCCATAGAAATACCGGGTTCTTCAAAAAAATCAGCCATCCTGTCAAACTCATTGCGAAGAAACTTGCATGCCCCCTTCCCCCAATTCAATGTTGTTGCATCGCTTTGCTTCGAAAGGCCTAAAACAGCCATTTGGGTTCGGATGCCGGCATGCATTGGGCAACAACATTGATCAAGGGGGCGCGGGGGGATCAGGTGTGATGTGACAACATGTAGGAGGATGGCTGTTTTTTTTGAAGAACCCGGTATCATAGAAACACCATAGAAATACCATAGAAACCCTATAGGAATCCAATGGAAATCTCACAAGAATACCATAGAATTCCCATGGCATCCCTTCAGAAATCCCATAGAAATCCTCTATAGAAATATCATAGAAACATCGTGAAAATCCCATAGAAATCCAATGGAAATCCTATAGACATCCTTTTAAAACCCCATAGGAATCCCATAGAAATACCATCGACATCGCATAGAAATCTAATAGTAGTCCCAAAGAAATATCATAGAAATACCATGGAAATCCCACAGGAATCCAATAGAAACCCCATAGAAATATCATATAACCACCATAGAAATTCCAAAGAAACCCCATGGAATTCCCAAAGAAATACCAAAGAAATCCTCTAGAAATATCATAGAAGTACCATAGAAATCCTTTTTAAACCCCATAGGAATCTCATAGAAATATCGTAGGAATCCAATAGAAAGATCATAGACATATCATGGAAATCACATAGGAATCCCACAGAAATCCCATCGAAAGATCATAGATATAACATGGAATAGCATAGGAACCACAAAGAAAACTTATAAGAATTCCCATAGTAATCCCATAGAAATATCATAGAAACATCATGGAAATACCTTGGAAATCCTACAGCAATCCAATAGAAATCACACAGGAATCCAATAGAAACCACATAGAAATCCAATAGAAACTACATAGAAATCCAATAGAAATATCATAGAAACATTATAGAAATATTAGAAACCCCATAGGAATCCAATGGAAATCCCATAGACATCCTTTTGAAACCCCATAGGAATCCCATAGAAATTCATCGACATCCCATCTTCTGGCAAATCTTCTGGCATTCTATCTGGCAAACATTCTGGCACTTTATCTGGCATATCTTCTGGCATTCTATCTGACATTCTACCTGGCATCCGTTGAGGTCCAGCGGTGCACTCTGAGCTGGGCAGGTCCCAGGTTGAGGTCCAGCGGTGCACACTGAGCTGGGAAGGTCCCTGGTTGAGGTCCAGCGGTGCCCACTGAGCTGGGCAGGTCCCAGGTTGAGGTCCAGCGGTGCACACTGAGCTGGGAAGGTCCCAGGTTGAAGTACAGCGGAAAACTGAGGTGGGAAGGTCCCAGGTTGAGGTCCAGCAGTGCACACTGGAGAGGCTGGAGGAGGAGGAGGAGGCGGAGGAGGCGGAGGAGGAGGAGGCGGAGGAGGAGGAGGACGAGGAGGAGGACAACAGCTCGGATAAAATCTAACAACCCTCACCTGGCAGGTGGGGAAAGAAGCTTTTGCAAAGGAAAAGGTAAAGGGAATGTTTGAAAAAAAACACCTCAGGAAGCAGCTGGACACAATAGTGGACCCCCAAAACAAACATACTATTGTGGATCAGGGTTGCTCCTGGACTGCCCCCTTGAAAAATTGTTTGAGTGCGTTTTTTTGGGGTTTTAAGAAGGCATCATATATTTTGGGAAATTGAGCGTTTCTGATAATTTCAAGTGAAAGAAACTAAGAAAGTAAGAGAAAAAAGCGTTAGCAAAGGAAAAGGTAAAGGGAATGTTTCAAAAACAAATCGCCCCAGGAAGGAGCTGGACACAATAGTGGGCCCCCAAAACAAACATACTTTGTGGATCAGGGTTGCTCATGGACTGCCCCCTTGAAAAAATGTTTGAGTGCGTTTTTTTTTTGTGGTTTTAATAAGGCATCATATATTTTGGGAAATTGAGCATTTCTGATAATTTCAAGTGAAAGAAATTAAGAAAGTAAAAGAAAAAAACTTTAGCAAAGAAACATGTAAAGGGAATGTTTGAAAAAAAACACCTCAGGAAGCAGCTGGACACAATAGTGGACCCCCAAAACAAACATACTATTGTGGATCAGGGTTGCTCCTGGACTGCCCCCTTGAAAAATTGTTTGGATGCTGAAAGGACAAACAGTGACATGTGTGACCAGGGTGGGGAAAAGAAAAACTTTGGAAAACTGTGCTGAAAATACAGCTGCAAGACCAACAATGCCCAAATGATAGTGGTCATGGAATGGTCGGAACTTCTCATTCGTGATAGACTCCTTTTCTCAAGGAAAGTCAGGAACCAATTGAACATTTGACATCACATCAGAATGTCATATCACATCATATCACATCACATCACATCACGCCACATCACATCAGAATGTCGTATCACATCATATCACATCACATCGTCATATCACACCGCATCACATCGGAATGCCATATCTCATAATATCATATCACATCGTCATATCACGCCACATCAAATTCATAATGTCATATCACATGACATTACATCATCATAATGTGATATCATAGGTGTCAAGCTTTGCAATGAAGCGGCCAGCGGCACATCAAGCTTCTGCAATGAAAAGGCCAGCGGCACGTCAAGATTCTGCAATGAAAAGGCCACCAGCAAATCAAGCTTCTACAAAGAAGAGGCCAGCGGCACATCAAGTTTCTGAGGCCGCAGCTCCAGTGCAGCTGGCACATCAAGTTTCTGAGGCCGCAGCTCCAGTGCAGCTGGCAAAGATCAGTGTAACACTGGCATCTGGTCGCAGTCACACATTTGAGGTGGAGGATAGCATCACAGCTGGAGAGTTAAGGGAGCTGGCACAGGAGCACTTCAACACATCCTTCTTGAGGCTTGTGACTGCAGATGGAGGCATGGTGGATCCTACACAACCTGTGTGTCCTCTTGGACCTGATTTCACAGGAATTGTGATCCAGCCAAGGGTGGTGGCCACAGAAGGCGCATTTGCTATGTTTTGCCCGGGCAGTGGTGTCATCTCTTGGGGAATGCATAATGAAGGTGGCGACAGCTCTGCAGTCCAAGCTCAGCTCAAGAACGTGCAAACTATTGCAGCCGGTTGGTGTGCATTTGCTCCCATATTGGCAGATGGGTCAGTGGTGACATGGGGAAAACCTGACAAGGGTGGTGACAGCTCTGCGGTCCAAGACCAGCTAAAGAATGTCAAGGAAATCCACGGTAATGCTGAAGGTTTTGCTGCAATTTTGGCAGATGGATCAGTTGTGCATTGGGGAGGCATTTTTAACTTTGACGAACATCCCGTGCCAGACTTTCATTGTCCCGTCCGGGCTATTGCATCGAACCCCTATGCTTTTGCTGCCATTTTGGAGGATGGATCAGCCATTGCATGGGGACATTCAAGATTTGGTGGCAGCTCCCGTAGTGCTCAAGGACAATTGAAGAATGTTCAGCAGATTAAAGGATCTTTTACAGCATTTGCTGCCATTTTGGCAGATGGATCAGTTGTAACTTGGGGCGATCCCGAAGGTGGTGCTGACAGCAGTGCAGTTCAAGATCGTCTCAGGAATGTGCAGCAGATTCAATCCTCTGATAATGCCTTTGCGGCTTTAATGGCAGATGGAACTGTGGCAAGCTGGGGATTCTATCTGGAAGGTTTGGACACCTTGACCTATTTAGAAGATGTGGCAAAGCTCAAGAATGTGAAGCAGATTCAGTCCACAAAAGATTCATTTGCCGCGCTCAATTCCTCTGGTGAGGTGCATGTTTGGGGCAGCTTTCTTGCCGGTTCCAACATGCATAAGGACAAGCATTTGCTTGGCCGCAAGGTGCTGCATTTGGCAGCTACGCGGACATCCTTTGCCGCGATTTGTGAAGATGGCACCATCGCTGCTTGGGGAGGAAATGATAGCCCCAGTTTCTTTGGAGTGCGTCCGACGGATGTCGAGACGGCTTGTGCAGTGACTGAGATCCAGTCGAATGATTTTGCATTTGCTGCACTCTTGGAAGATGGATCAGTTGTTTCTTGGGGCACTCTTACTCATGGCGGTGACACGAAGACATTCAAGATCAGCTCAAGAACATCCAATTCATTGCTAAGACTGCGATGGCCTTCTGTGCAGTCACTCGTGACGGAAAAGTTGTCACCTGGGGTCGTCATGACGAGGGCGGCGACAGCAGTGGAATTCAACTGTCTTGTCTGATGTGATTTTTTTGCAATTCTCGGCGCCTTCTCAATTCTCAATTCTCATTGTCTCAATGCTCAACTTCGAGAGATTTTACACCTCAACTTTGATTTGTTACTGCCCAAAGCCGGCAGTGTTTTTAAATTTGATTAGTTTAGGAACCTGGGGGCACAATAGTGGATCCCCACACTGATCAGGAGCCAGCATTAAAAAAAAATTTACTGATGGGTCATAATTAGCCTTTCTTCAGACAACAACTGGACGCAATAGTGGCCCCCCACAACAAGCATATTATTCAGGATCAATATTAATTGCTCATGAAAAAAATGTTTTTGTTTTTAGTAATCATAATCTAAAAGCATACAGTATTTAAAAATAAAAATAGTTAATTAAACAACTTTAAAAGTTGAAATAAATTAAACCAAAAAAATAAAACAATTTAAACATAGAAATGTTGAAAAAAAACTCATCCCAAAATCCTGGGGACACAATAGTGGATCCCCAAACTAATCAGGAGCCAACATTAAATAATTATTACTGATGGGTCATAATTAACCTTTCCTCAGGCAACAGTTGGACACAATAGTGGACCCCCACAACAAGCATATTATTTAGGATCAATATTGCTCAAGAAAAAAATGTTTATTGTTTGTTTTATAAACTAAAAACATATTTTTAAAGAAAAAATAATAAACAACTTTTGAAAATTGAAATAAATTAAACAAACCAATAATAATTTAACACAATTTAAAATAAAAAAATGGCGGAAAACTGATACACTTACCCCAAAATCCTGGGGACACAATAGTGGCAACCCCAATCACGCCCACAGATCCAGAATAATTTTGGAACCTGGGGACACAATAGTGACCCCCCACACTAATCAGGATCCAACATTGTATATACATATATATATATATATATAAATATGCATATGTACTGAAGTACATAGAATACAGAAATTTCAAAAAGACTTTATTTTTTTGTGAATTGGACTACTTGTGACAATCCCATATATGGCCCATATATGCTTGGATTCTATACTTTTGTAACTGGCAAGTTCAAAAAATCCTCTCAAAAATGGGACTATGTTTGAAAATCCAATTTTCTATCTATTTGGAATCGACATCAGGATCATCGTTTACTTACATTCATTCTTTTTGTGTCTATCTTTTGGGGACTTATTATGCATATATATATATGATTCATGGTGTTATATATTCATCCCGCAGTAGATAGAATCTGAAATTGATTTAAAAAAAACATCTAAAATGGAACCGTGTTCGAAAACTCTCATGTAATCCTAAGTATAAATATATTATATATATGCAGGTTTCTTAAAGTTCTTAAAATGCGGGATCCTCAAAGTGAACGAATTATAATGGACAAACTTATTAAAATGGATGCTAACTGGGGGGTTCAATCCGCATTTTCAATCATTTTCATCCATGACTCATTGAAACCAACCATTTTAACCCCGAAAAAAACACAAAAAGACATCACCGGTACCGGTGCCGTGACCGGTGCATCCAACAGGCTTTGGTTGATGTCCTATCGCATGACGGCCGTCAGCGCCGCCGGGATGGGCGTCCTGATCTCGGTGGTGGTGCCGGAGCACAGCGCCACGCTGGCCACGTCGGTGTCGGTGATCGTCGCTGGGCGGCCGCGGCCGTGGCATGGGCCCCGCATGGGGCCCCGCGGGGTCTAAAAATAGGTGACACATTTCCGATTTCAATGGGGGAATCTGGGGAAAAAGTGGAAAAAAACATGGAACAAAAGAAACTGACCGTGAATGATCATGATATTTCTTTGGTTTGGAATTTTTGGATGAATTTCTAAATAACTGTTGGGTTTGTGGTGGTAATATCTATCTATATCCGAGGGTTATAAACCAGAACGTTCAATAAAAGTTAGTACGTTTTTCTCAAAAAAAAATCAAAATACATCCATGTTTATGATGTTTCAAGTTGCCGGAGAAAAAAATAATCCGCTCCCATCGTTGTGAGGTGATGGGTGGAGCCATCAGTGAACCCCAAGCAATTGGAGAAGGCAAAGAAAGCATCAGAGAGGTGCCGTCAAACCATGGGAATTTGGAAAACCGCCGTGGCTCATGGCAATGGCACATGGGGGTTATGAAACTCCATGGCCATGGTGAATTTTGAAATGATTTGAAATTTCTAGGAAGATGAACAGTTGTCTAACAAGTTGTCTATAGTTATCTTATTTTCGTGAGTTTTTCACCGATTTCAGTCCTCAGAGTTACCCTGCAACATGCTGGGAACGCAAGAACTCCATTTTATGCGCAGTTTTCCGCTTGAATTTCCACATGGAATTTGGTTCAAACACATTGAGCAAAGTTGGATGGGCAGATATGGCTATAATTTGGTTTATTACCCATCATCTAACTGTGGTTATAATCACCCTAAACCTTGGTTGATCTAATGATAGAACAGTTTAACTATGGAACACAACTTTAGTATACTTTAGTAGCCCCGTTGGCACCCCAAATGTCGCAGGTGATTGCCGCTTTTTCACCTTTCACCTGGTCCATTGGGCAGAACTACTTGGCCCTGATTGCTGAACAGGTGCCTTTGGACGATTCCGACCGAATCCAACCTTGCCGGAACTGGTTAAAATTTATATCGGACTCAAGGGCAGTTTCACCCATGGTTTCAACCAAACATGTTCGCTTCAATCAATCCAGTTGGTTGCTTTATAGGCAAGGCAATATCCTGGAAAAAAAAATCCCAGTTGCAATAAGGTTAGATGTTGTTAGCAGCATTGAATAAACACATCACTTGTGGATGTGTATTGTTTTAATCCCAATGAACCGCATTTTTGCCGGTCAGACCGCACATGCAGGTGAAGGAACGAGGCGTCGGAGTCTGGGAGGATTGGGTGAACTGGTGCCTCGGCAAAACCACTGGCCCCATCTAAGCCATTTGAATATCTCTGTTGATTGGTTGGTTTAGGAAGGATTGGGGGTCACAATCAGGAAATTGTTTATTGATAATATTGAACTTTACCCATAAAAACAAATAGCCCCCAGTTCTTGGAAAACAAACATAAGAACACTTAGGATGGTTATGCTGGATTGTTTGCTGGGGTCTTGAAGCAACCCGCCGATCACAGGCTGCCAATTTACGGAACATCTGAGGTGGGTATACCCTCTGGTAAACATTTACATAACTATGGAAAATCACAATTTTCAGTGGGTAAATCCACTATTTCTATGGTCATTTTCAATAGCTATGTAACAAATTACCAGAGGGTAATGATTACCCAATGGATTTGGGATTCCCCGTTTTCAGAGCCATTTCAACCAACTGGTCTTACTGGTGGTTATGGTTGGTGGCCCAATGATTGCTGGTTTCAAAGTGGGGAAGATGTGATGCAAGAATACAGTGGAAATGACCAGCGGTTTGGAGATCACCGTTTTCGTTATTCTTCCTTTTCACATCTTTTCACCACTTTTTGGATACTTTTGGGATGATGATCCCAATGACAATGACCAGTATAATATGTCTTACGGTGGGGTTGAAACTGCCAAAAAAACATGTCTTTTCGGGTCCCTAGTTGCGGGAACTCCACCCCCAGACACTTTGAATAACTTGAGGATACTTGAGGTGCGCGCATAGCAAAAACATGGCGACTCTCCGGTAATCAAACATGGGAATGGATTTTTTCCTCATTTATAGATTTTTGTCCAATATTAAGACCTCTGCTTGGGGCTTGGGGGTTTCCTGAAACTGGGATACACCCAGATCATCCATTTCAATGGGATTTTCCACTATAAACCATCCAGCTATTGGGGTAGCTCCATCTATGGAAAACCCTATTACTTCAAGGATTTCCCACCGCGAGATGCTGCCCCTCAAAGTTCCGAGGTATGCCTTCGATACCGTGGAAGGCTACCAGAGAATCCTGCATTCCCTAGGCCTGGCGGAGACAGCTGTTGGTCATGTTTACTACGTTTACTATACAGAATCTATTGAATCTAGTGGGATACCCAATTGCCAAATCTATTGGGATACCCAATTGCCATACCAGTACCCACTTTGAAGAGTGAGACATTTCGATAGATCCGATAGATTTCATCAGGATTTCCTCAGATAAGATGCTCCGAGCTTAATCTTTTTGGAATTTGACCAAGAAAAATATAGGATATATAGGGTATGGTGCAGAAATGGGTCAACAACATTTCCCATTGATTAACGCAGGGATACGGGGCAAGCTCTTTGAAATTCATCCTGCCTACAACATGTCTTGGTCATAAGCGGATGCATGTTCCAGTGGGACCCCTGGTGGTCATCATAAGTCCCCTACTTGAGCTTGGAGTTGTTGTCCCTATAATCCCCACTGGGCCCCACTCAAACATGATATGATTGGTATTGTGTTTTTTAGGTTTTCTCCATTCCATCCCCTAATGTTAAATACCACCCTGATGACCCCCTAGGTATTGGATCTATTCGGTTCCGGGGCTCCCCTTGATCATCCTTCACTGGTTTGATGTTGTCAGGTGGAGACTATACAGTGTCAGCTTACATTTGCTGCAGTGTCTTTGGTCTTTTGGCTTTACTGACTGGATATTTGGGACTGCGATGGTCCCACAGAGGCAAGCAAGCGTGACGCGTGGCCAGTCTGTAGGCAGCACAGATGCTGAAAATATGCTGAATTTTGGTGGCTCTGGAGTGCCCACTGGACATCTTCCTTCTTTTCAAGCAAAGTACTGCAAGGGGGCGTTTTTCCAGAGTACATTCCAAACATGTACATTCACATGCCTCAAACTGCCCTATTGACATCTCTTGATCATGATGAAAACTTCACCCTGCTTGAACTCTTAGATCTTCAGCAGGGACGAAGGCTTGATCCCAAACCCGCTTCGAATGAAGCGGTTTGTGCTCAGACTCCAACAGCTGCCGAATTTGCCTTGCAGATTTTGTTGTGCAAATTGCCCCCCTGGGGGCAGCCTTGCGCCAGCACGTGATGTCAGCATGAAAGGCATTGCCGGTAGGATTGTGGGATGGACAATCTGATGGTTTATCATGAATATCCCTAGATATATTATGATATTAAGATTTTATTATTTTGGGGCTATACCCCTGTTTTCAGGCACACCCATATCACCAATGATGGTGTGTGTTTTTGGCCTTTTGGCCGCTTGATTTTTGTTAGCTTTGAAGAGGGGCAGGGACAGTCACTGTCACATCATCCAGCGATGTTGCAACTTTCACTCAGAACTATGGGACAGTAGGGGAATGTAGGGGACAAGAACGGATATAATATATGTGTAGTGTACTATATATATATTATATAATATATTCATGTGTGTGCATGAATAATACCTATGTACATGCGTACATACATATATATACATATATATGCACGCAATGCATGCGCACTAATTTTACATATATGCACACGCAAGGACACACACCTCCCTCGTATTAATTCTATATATACATATATGATCATATATGCATATATATATATAAATATATATATATATATATATGCCTGCATGCTGATACATACAGTACACTTATGTATGCACGATGTTTTTGCATAAGAGATGCATGTATGAAAGAAAACTCTATGCATCAGCGATTCCATGGGCGTAGTGGGTCTAGAATGGGCCTTGACCAGAACCAGCACCCCAGAATCCAGCCAGCAATTCCTATCACCACTGCGACGACTGTAAACACAAGACGAGCGCAGCACTTGCCGTTGCCAAAGCCTGGTCAGCGCAAGTTTTCCACGCCGCCCGCGGGTGGAGATGCGGCACCGTGAAGGTGAGGAAGCGCATGGGGGTGGCAACAGCTTTCATCAAGGGTGCACCTTCCCCCCGTCTATGGGGGGTTTTGATGCACTTTTTGGTCAAATAGTGCATGGTTATATAACCACAGAGGGAGAAGCCCGCCCCAGTCTTCCAGGGACAGTACCGCAGTCTTGTTGAAATACAAGACCCGCAGCGAGGCACTGCCCAAATCAGCGTGCATGTAGGTCGAGAAAAAGAACGGGTTTAAAGGGAAGCCGGATCAATGCCAGGTTGGTTCCATAGGGGAAGGATCGTCTTCCCCTGCTATCCCCAAGATCCCCGAGCAAAACAGAAAACATAAGGGCTTCACCAACAAGAACCAGCAAACGAAAAGTAAAAGACCGTGAAGACGGTGAAAGCCTGACAGAAAAGTTCATGTGATGTTGGGAGTTGTGGTTTTCAGCCCTTTGATGTTCCGTTGTGGCTGATTGTTTAGATGATTAGGAGTGCGGAGGTGAGCTAGGCTGTGGCCAATTGCGATCAAGATGTTTGTGATTTTGTTTGGAGTGCATGTCAATATTTTAAAAGTCTTAGGCTCCCCATCATGATCATATTTATATATATATATATCATTTATTTATTTTTATTTATATATATATACATATATATCATAGTTTTCTATATTATATCGTTTTATTTTTTGCACTGAGCAAAAGATTATCTTTTGTAGACTATCAAAGATTGATTTCGAAGAGTGGATTTTCAAGCCAGCCATGTTTGATTGCCGGAGGGTATAATTGATATGCAAATGCATATGTACATGTAATAGGTTGACTTGACATGGAATACAATGGAGTATACCCTATGCAAAGCTGTCAGGGGTTTTCTCTACTTGGGTGCAATGAAGGTGAGGCTTGGGGGTCAGTTAACAATGACGCTGGCATTATGACCCTAGGGTAAACATACAAAGATGTTGTACACCCACCCATTCGCAAAATTATCTACAAATGATGAGTTTCTGCCTTATATATTGTATGTTTACGGGAGGGCAACCACATAATCATGGGATATGAGGGATGGGTTGGTTCAATGTTTGCTTCTTCCCAAGCGCCACTGTTTGAGATGACACACGTTGATCAACGCCGAACTAATCTGTTTGACAATGTTTGCCCATGAAAAATCATCAGTCTGAATAGGTAAATTACCCATAAATCATCTATAAATGGGCCATTTTCCAGAGCTACGTTAAATAGCCAGAGGGTAGATCCAAAATGGAATGGCATTAAACTTTAAAATTGCATTTGTAACAGTAAAGTTATGTAAAGTTCTTGTATGGCTTGTATGGTGAAATATGATGCTCCGCAAAGATGATTGTTTCACCACTAACACTTGGATCACTTGGCTCGCCGCGGACATCGATCGGTGTTCGGCAAACCAAAGGGCCATCGGTGTCACCAGAGCCGGAGTTGCCATGGAGTGCATGAGCCTTGCCAGGGGGTTTTCCGACAGGGACACATCTTGAAACCATAGACATGTTTTATCATTTTTTGTTGGACAAAATGCAGAAGGATACTTAAATTTCCATTGTGAGGTTAGATTGCGAGAGGGTCTATGTTTATGTCCATGTTTGCCGGTTTCACTCGTACGTGTTTGGGGGCCCACCGTCCCAGAAACTGAATGGATACTTCGTTGCATGCCAATGTATCATTAGAATATCCTAACTGTAAGTGGCCTATTGCACATTGACCAGCCAGCTATCCCAGTGAGTTTTACCTCTAAATGGTCAGTCACAAATCCAAAGATCGTTGTCCAGATAAATGCGTCCAGATATCATCTGTCCAGGTAGAGTGCTTGATCACGGTGCACTTCCGTGTTAAAAACAGAAAATCTTACGGAGGCACGGAGTTACTTTAAGGAATGCTCGGGTTATCCTCCCAGTAACAAGAATAATCACCATAAATATATATATATTATATATATATATAAATAAGAATGTAAGAGTATGACAATATTGACACATATTTGTGATCATGCTGCAACATGATGCAACAACTAGATGAAGCTATAAGTACTATGACCATCCCATGGGGGTTTCATGATCAAACGTGGGTCCCGATTTTGTGAGAGGGGCATCCAGGTTTAGGAACATGAAACCAATTGAAACGAATTGAAACCACCATACATGATATATATGATATATATTATATATATGTGTGTGTGGTATAAGATATGTATATATATATATTATATATATGATATGATATATATATATATATCCATACGCTATCCATACATGATATCCATAACTGGCTGGTGCTTTGGAACCATGGAATCTTATGACTCCATTCAGTTGGGAATGTCATCATCCCAACTGACTTTCACTCCATCATGTTTCAGAGGGGTAGGTATACCACCAATCAGATGATATCCTCTGGTTATTTAACATAGCCATGGAAAATGGCCCATTTATAGATGATTTTCCCATTAAAACCTCCATTTATAAATATTTATAAAGAATTTTCTATGGCTATGTTAGTCAGAACCAGATGATATCATGGTCTCAATCTCAGGAGTCCGACCATCCAACTGGCGGGTGGCTGGTCCCGTTTCAGTTCCATCGACGCTTCGGCCCTCGACGGACGCGGGTCCACGGGGTCCACAGGGACCCTTGGGTCCACGGGGACGGCCGCCTGGCGGGCGCTGGGGAAGGAGCTGACGACGGCGCGGGGCACGGTGACGTGGCGGATCGGACCGATGGGATGGGACTGGGCAAGGTGTCAAGAAAAAACAAATTTCCTCCGGGAAGAATAACATAGCTGCTATAGCTATGGAAAATTTGGATAGAAAATATATATGAAATCGCTGGTTTGAGGCGGATTTACTTATGAACCGTGTTTTGGTTTCATAGCTATGTTTGATTACAAGAGGGTAGTTGATGATTAAACCAATTGATGTTTATATTTATATCTCAACTGCCAATTGTGTAGATTGTAGCTGTTGCTCACCCCTCATTTGGGTAATCTAGAAAGGCTATGGCTATGAGTCAACCTTTTTAGACGAACAAATCCGATGAAATGGTGTTGTTAAATGGTTCAAGCAGTTCAAGCTTGTAGATCCATGACCCAACTTGCCTAGCTGGGATGACGGAGCCCAGATCTATAGGACGGTCAAACACCTACAATAGGCCCCGGTTTGGATGAACATCTGGCAGCGGTTTCAAACCATTGTCTGATGTCAAACCTCAGATGTAGTACCGTGATGCGGTTTTTTCATGTTTTTTCAACGATCTGGGGCAGCTGAGGTGGGTTGCCCCAATTCTTCACCTTTTAACTTTATCACATCCAGATTGGAGGTGATTTGTAGCTTCCCATCTCGTGACATTCCAAGTCTTTTTGGGGTTTTCCCCTGTCATTTGCTGGGAACTCAGGCGCTTGTGTTGATCCTGCTTGGCAGTGTTCTCTGTGAACATTTTTGTCCACCGGACTTCGGGATCGCTGCAGATGAGAGATGGAAGCCTTACTTGGTCGCAACACGTCACAGGGAGAGTTGTTTTTTGGTTTTCGGGGGGACCTTACAATAAGTAACTTACATTTTTGGGGAGGTCCCCCCCTGCCAAAACGGTAGGGATGATATTTCTATGTTTCTATGTGTTTTCCTCTTGTTCTTTCGAAGTATTGCAATCCGGTCATGCATTTGTGCTGATGATAACCTCAGTTTTGGCACGAGGGTGGAATTGTGTTTCTGTTGATAAGGGTCCCATTGACTTTGCATGATCCTCCTATTTTTGCGGCCTACCCGGTACTTACCCCAGGCAAACTGCACTCTCTGTGGCATTGTGCTCATTGCTGATGGTTTGCCTGCAGACGCGGTCCTCCTGGGCCTCTCAGTCCTTTTCGTTCTCACAGGCTAGGGTGAATTTGACCTCTTGAGGAGGTGTTTGGCATGAACAAAACACGAGGAGGAGATACCACTTCAGTCTCCTGTACGTGTGTTTTTCGCGTAATTCTGTGTGAAGTTTGTTTTTTAAATGTGTGGGCTTGTTATCAGCAACTCTCAACCCATGATTACTTGTAGCTGGCGGTTGGGGGTGGTTGTTTGGGTTCATGACACGGTCCCCTAGTAATACTCTCTTCATTCAAGGGCACTGGATTCTGGGGCAGTCCAAACTAAGGACCCAAACTACCATGATTGAATCTGACTGTTTGGTGCCACAACATGATTTATATCTATACAATACTATATATATATACATGCATGTAATGTATGTATCACGGCGCAGTCGTTATCATGTCCCAATTCTGTCTCAGAAAAAAGTCCCGAGTACGAAGTTCAACTACATCCCCAATTCCATGAACAAAGGATGTTACGGTGTTTTGAATTGGTTTGCTTGGTTGTGCTCATGCCGCCTCGAATGGTCCCACGCCGTGTGCTATGTTTTTTGGTATTCTGGCAACATCTTGCGTGATATTTGCGATTCATGTCACATGTAACATTCCCATATATTCCCATTGTTGATCATCTTTTGCTCTTATTTCTCCTATTTTCCTATGTTTTTCATGGATTTCACCATGTTTGGATCCATCATCCCATCATCCCATACCACCCGGGCCGCCAGGCATCATCAGCGAGCGCCAGGCCTTCGCTGGCTTCGCCTCTCCGGGCGTCGCGGCCTATGCGGCGCTCTTCATCCTGTCCGAGGCTTTTGCGGAGGTCAAGGTCCTTGATGCTGTGATGCCACGCGCCAAAGCGCACCACGCGCGTATCTGGCGGTATCTGGGGATATTCCTGGGGATATTCCTGGGGATGACAAATGAAGATCCCCATGGTTTTTTGAGGTTGGGATTGATAAGGCCTTAGCAATCCATTTTTGGCCGCAAGGTCATGATAGCTTTTCATAAAACATGAGTAACTAGTTCAAACAACAGACTACTAGTATTATTGGAAAGGAGACCACTGCAAACTCATATATAGTTTAATTAACATCGCAGTACTGCATATAGCATTATAGGTGATTTAGTTATTAAGAATGGTGATTGGGGTTTTAAAAATACCAATTATACCAATTATAAATGGGATGATAATATGGAATATATAGTAAGGTGATGTAAGATGCATGTCACTAACGGGGGTTTCAATAATGATAACTATTGTTGAATAACCAGAGGGTTTATATTTATGGTGGTTTCTTAAGTAAAAGGGGCTCCCCAAGTCACCATGGTTGTTTCAGTACTAAAATGGTCTAATGTCGGATGATTTGGCCATCAACAAGTGATATTCAACCATTTCAAAAGAATGGGATTACCTTTCACCCACTGTGTGTGATTTGGGGGTAGCTGTATTTTAGGAAACCTCCATATTTTGGGCGTGTGCACGTATATAACAATATATGTATATGTGAACAACCCATAGTTTAATGCGTAAGGCCTTAATAATGTCTTAGTAATGATATCTTAATAAGGCCTTAGTAATCAATACGGCCTTAGTAGTGAAATCTTGATAAGGCCTCGGTAGTGCTATCTCAATAGGCCTCTGTAATGATATCAAACAACAGACTATTAGAAAAGAGATCATTGGACATACTTTACTATTACAGTAATCCAGTACTGCATTTATTATATCATTATTGTTTTGGATCATGAAAGTGTGTATATATATATACTATTATATATATGTGTGTGTATAATATTACACATCATACCCTCCAAAACCCAACCCCAGCCCCAGACAAAGCCCAGGTTCCGACTCCTGGGTCACCAGAACACCTCCCTGCGCATGGCGCAGCTGCGTGTCACCGCGCCCGTGGCTGCAGCCTCGGCGATGTTTAACAACAGGCCACTGGTGGCCATGTTAGTACCCTTGGTACAGGCCTGGGCACTGCGACACGGACACCACGCCGCACAGCTACTGATGCCTGGCATGGCTGGTGGGGGATGGATGTGTTGTTTTTTTTTCATGCGGAAGAGGATGGAGATGGGTAGGCTGACCCTCAAAAATATGTGTTTGAATTTTCATGCCTTTGATGGACAGCAATGGGGATGTCACCAGCACAATGTGAGTACAGTGGGTGCACCTTGGTGAGCTGCGTAGTTTGGGGGGTGAAGAAACCTTCAAAGGTGACTCCTTAGTGAACCCCGATCCATAACCGTCATCAAAAAAGGGGTCGCTTTGGTTGGGGTTGGTCGAATCATCATGATGAGGGTGGGGGTTGGTATGGAAACCTTGTAAAAAAGGAAGCAGGGATGTCAAAATGGACTTAAGGTCAGCAGCATTTGTGGTGTCATGGGTCGGTGGTTTCCTGGATGGCAATGGGAAATGCATTGGCATTTACATGGAAAATCATCTATAAAAGTGGGATTTTCCAGCAAACCATATTTGATTACAAGAGGGGAATTCCTAAGATCCTTTAGGGAGATCGGGCAGGTTTTCGCCAAGCTTTGACCAGGTCAGATGTGGGTTTGCGTGAGAATGGATCAAAGGGGGGTATGTGCCCCGTATTGCCCCGTGCTTGTAAGCCAGGTCCTCCCAACCTTTATCCATAGGATCCATGGTGCTGCTATATATGGTAACATGGATCCCATCAATATACCCCAGTCATGTTAGCATTTTTCTACCAGCACCATGGATCCGTCATGGGTTATGATTTCAAAAACTTTCAAAAACCATCACAAGTCCTGCACAAGTCCTAGGATGCCCCTGGCATTTGCTTCCACTCTGGGTGGCACGCTCACGATGATCGGCTCAGCTGCCAACCTGTTGGCATCGGATTGTGCCACTTTGGCTGATCTCAGGGGCAGCCTGGCTTCCCAAAATCATTGGGAAACACAACGCTTCTCCAGCTGATTCTTTGCAGGTGGGTTGCAAGGGCGTGTCTTTACATACCCCTTGGTAATATGAAAATCAAACGTGGCTGGCTGGACAACTCATAGATTGAGGTGTATATAAATTGAAAACATATCTACAAATGGTGGATTTCCAGTGGCCACGTTTGATCACCGAAGGGTATAGGTTACGTTTTTTGTTAACTACCCTAAAGCAGCGATCCCACAGTGATGTTCCGGACTTTGATTGAAGTTGTTTCCTCATCGTTCCTGTCCACTTTTACCCAGTTGGGGTAGGACCTCAGTAATGAACAGCTAACACCAATGGGCTGTTCATACCAATGCTGTTGCGGTTTGTGGCTTCATCGTGGCAGCAGTAGCAGTGTGTCCGTTTCCATGGAATTGAAACAGGGATCCTCAATGATGGGACCGTCATGTCCATAATCTTCCCATACTATTGGGTTTTACTATTGCGAGTAATATATAGTAGTACGGGAGTAGTATGGGAGTTGTCTGGGAATGGCCCCTATAAACTCCATGATATACAGCAACATTTCTTTGTATGTCTTTGTATCATAAATTTGGTATATCTATGTACATTCCCATGCTTATAGATACATACAAAATACTCACAAGTGACAGTTACCCTCTGGTAATTTAACATAGCTATTGAAAATGGCCCATAGAAATCGTTGATTTACCTATTAAAGATGGTGATTTTCCATAGCTTTTTGTATGTTTACCAGAGGGTAATAGCTATCATCCCTTGCGCATCCCTCGGCGTTGCGAGCCGAGCTGAAGGCCCGTAGCCTGAAAGACCCTGTGGAGCTGAAACTTTTCGCCTTGATCCTGGGACTTGGCGCCGGTTTCTGGGGTTTCCTGAAATGGGGGTACCCCTTTATCGCTGGTTGGTTTATTTCATGGAAAATCCCAAGCGAAAATGGATGATTCCCCCATAAAATGGTTGGTTTATAATGGAAAAAACCAATGAATAATGAAAATGGATGATGTGGGGATAGCCCTATTTTAGGAAACCTCTATATCTCTGAATATTTTGGCGATGTGAATCTTCTCAGAACATAGCTAATATGAAATCGTTTCATATTTGGGTGGTCTGATATCTGAGCTGAGATGTGAAGATGTCTTTTGGGAGTAGAATCAACAACATCCTGGCTTTGCTGCAGGTAATTGATTGTGGGGAATTTGCTGGGAACATGTGTTGTTTTTGTATGGGCCACCCCGGCAAATCCAAGACATGGGTTAATTTGTTCATCCTTCAAAGACTGCATTGTCCAGTGAATGATGGATAGAACGGGGGATTCAGCCAAACTATCTTTTCGGGATATGAATAATGGTAACATTGCGGGCGCCCACGAGGAACACTAATTGAAAACCGCCACTCGCCCCACTCGCCCCACTCGCCCTACTTGCCCTGGGCTAGCAAATTAATTGAAATCCGCCACTCGCCCCACTCGCCCCACTTGCCTTGGTAGGAAAATTAATTGATTTTGGCCACTCGCCCCACTCGCCCTACTCGACCCCACTCGCCCTACTCGCCCTACTCGCCCCACTCGCCCTACTCGCCCCACTCGCCCTACTCGCCCCACTCGCCCCACTCGCCCCACTCGACGCACTCGACGCACTTGCTGCGGAGGTAAGCAGAGCAAGTGCAAGCGGGGCAAGCGGGGCAACCGGGACAAGCGGGGCAAGCGGGGCAAGCGGGGCAAGCGGGGCAAGCGGGGGCAAGCGGGGGCAAGCGGGGCAAGCGGGGCAAGCGGGGCAAGCGGGGCAAGCGGGGCAAGCGGGGCAAGGGGGCAAGCGGGGCATGCGATATACACTGACAGGCCCCAATTTTCCTCCGTTTGGATCTCAATCCGGTCCTTCCTTTTGGCAGTAAGAGATTCCTATAGTCTTTCAGGTGAGCAGTCTCCGGTACAACATAAGTACCGTCCTACCAGCTTTCGTACCCTGGCCTCAAGTCAAGATCTTCAGATTCAGATAATGTGTATATATTGCATCTAAACACCTTCACCTATACATAGACATATATGATGTTATTCCGTCCCAAGGGAGGCGAATACTGCAGAGCAATTGAGGACAGCATCGGATGCCATGCGTGTACTGCGCAGCAGATTCTGTCCTTTTCTGTTGGTGAGGTCGAATTGGAGATTTGTCTGCAACCATTTCAGGTGCTCAAAAAGGGGTGCAGAGAAGTGAAGATAGTGAAGGCCCAACGAAAGGTCATTGACAGAAATTGCCAGCGTTAAAACTCCAGAGGTCCCACCTTTTACAATCTGCCGATACTTGGAGCGGAAGCTGGAGAATCGCATCAGACTTACAACCTTCAGCCAAGCAAAGCCAACCTTGCAGAACAAGCCAAACCAAAATTCAGCATCGCCAAACCCAGAGGCCTAAACCTACCAAACCTACCAAACTCTTGCAGCCTTTCATTCCTTACAACTTTCCTAGTTGCAATGCATAACCATTGAGGAACTGTATTGACTCTATGCGAAGTCAAGCTTTAGCTACGACGCGTCGGCAGCACATTGTGAGCAATGTGTGCTGGCTCAGCCAAGGCGTGGACCTAGAAAGATTAGAAAGGAATGAAGAACATCCAAGAATTCAGTTGAACAAAGAATGTCCCATCAAGAAGGTATAGGTATATATATATATAGATGTACCAAAAAACTATGTAAATTTACAGCCGTTTTTGCAAGTAAAGCAAATATTTACGAACATATTTCCCTGAGTATAATTTTGGAGACTGAGGGTAACTCAGACTGGAGAAATGAAATTCGCTTCATGTTTGTAGAAGGGTTCTTGGCTGCTGGCGTGTCACTGCTCATGTTAGATCATTGCAGCGAGTGCCGGTTTTGGCAGGGTGCCTTCCGTACTTCAACGCATGGTGATCCAGCGCTCTTCATCTTGGAAAAGGTGTGACATATCAGGACCTGCGTGGTAAGGTTGCAATTTTAGCGCGGTATATAGTTGAATTCACTCACTTGGAGACACCCCGAAGGGAGAGGGTGAAATGAGATGAGATGAAAACATGTAATGTCATGTTATCATGTTAGCATGTCATGTCGGCATGGGTGGTTTATGGCTTAGCCACCTGGCCATGTCCGAAGGTGTAAGGTCGCAGGTACGTTTGCAGCTCTCATCATTGGCCTCTTCGTTGGCCATCCACCAATGATGAAAGGGATGGCACCCTTCCACACACAGCAAGCCGCTGGGGCACGATTTTGAGGAAGTTTCACGGCGTTCAGTTCAATTTCCGCTGAAGAAGGCTGACAAAAGCAAACCACTGCATCAGAATTTCCGGCTGTTCAGCAAGCAGCCAACGACCAACAAAAAAGTCTGTAGCGATCCTGTGGCGAGATGACAGCCTTTCAACTGATGATATTTTGGCCATTGATGTGAAGGACCAGTGGCGCCATCACTTTCTTGTTTCCCAATGTGACTGAACTTGCAAACATTGGCTATATCTGGTGGTGCCACTTGCCACTGTCAAGATTAGCGGCCCTTGGCTTACCTGTGCTCTCTGAGCCGGGCTGTCGATGGTATCTCGAGCATACAACAGTCTAATCACAAGGATGTATGTTATTTACCCGTACTTGGTTAGGCAGTGGGCCGTATGGAAATATAGAGATTTGGTACAGTGGTTCGAACCAGGCCAGTAGGTAGCGACGCAAAGTGTGCTGGTGTATGTAATGTCTTGAGCTGTAGATTGCAGATTCTGTTTGTGATACAGCGAGATGTCAGGAACTGATCTCCCGGCGACAGAAATTCATCATCTGTGCCGTTACCACGGCTGCCCTATTTGAAGTCGTTTGTTTGCAGTTTATCTTCATGCTCATGTCCGAGGCCGGGGTTGAATTTGGTGGAGTGATGTTGTCTTTGCGGGCAGGATCGGCATTGACAGATAACGTGAACTTTAGAACCTTGATTTCGAATCTTGCTGCTTGTTTCAGATGTTTCCGAAAGATTTCGTTTTGAGTCATGTCAGCTTTATACGCTGCGCACTTTTCGGCCCAAGAGAATCTCACAGAGTCGGGTCAGTGAAACTTGCCCATTCCTGATAGCACGCATCCATCGCCGGACCAGCGCGCATCTTCATCAAGCTGTTGTGAGAGTTGCCCAACTTCTGGCAGTCGCCGGGCTACTGTGGAACTTTGCTAGCACTTGCTTCCACGGCCATGCATGGCTTGGGAATATACCTTTGGTGAATGTTGGGGGCTTTAGCTGCTCCCCAATGATTTCAGATCAGCTGTCTCAACAAGGGCCAAGAAACGATTCAGCTTCGTTCGAAAAGCGCGGAAAAAGCCGGCTGGCTTGGTTGTTGTTTGTGTCATGCTGCATGGCTGCATGATGCCATTATTACTTCAAAACCATTCGCCTCTCATGATTTTCAATCTTTCCCAGTTTTCCAGGTTCGCAGACCGCGCTGCAGCTGTACTGCACCATGGTGTCCTTGTTTGCGTCAAACACCTTCTCATTATTTTCAATTGTTTTTCTCGATTTTCCTGGTTCGCAGTCCTTGCAGCAGCTGTGCTGCATCATGGTTTCCTTGTTTGCATCAAAGTTGCAGTGCCATGTTGCATGCATGTGCCTATTTGCAACTGTCGCTCCCGTTGTGCTCAAGTTTGATGATCGCCTGAGCTACTGTTGCCCACCTGTGCTCTCCGAGCCGGGAAATTGACTTAGACAAATACATTCGCTGCATTGGCCGCCATGGAAACGCAAGACATAACTGCGGTACTGCCCAGTGGGAAACAGCAGACTGTCACGCTAGCAGTATCAGCCAAGGTTCAGGAACTCAAAGAGATTTTGCAGCGATGCTTCGATCAACAGTTCTTGGTCATCCTGGACGCGCGAGGTGCGGTGTTGCGGGTCGATGAAATGATTGCTCCGGCTGCAAGCGCACGCTGCGTTACATGTGTCGCGCGTTTCCCTTGTCTAGCTTCAACCTGGCAAGCCTTTGCTCTGTGGTGTCACAATGACCGTGTAGTGACATGGGGGCATCCTGCCTACGGCTCCGACAGCTCTGATGTGTGCGAACGCCTGCGCAAAGTGGTGCAGATCGTTGCCAGCGCCGGCGCTTTTGCCGCGGTGACATCAGACGGATCTGTTGTTACCTGGGGCAAGCCGAAGATGGTAGCTGACACTGCAATGGTACGACAGCAGCTCTATGATGTGAGAAGCGTGACTGCAGCTGCCCAGGGTGCATTTGCCGCCCTTCGTCATGATGGGTCTGTCGTCACCTGGGGTGATGTGTTTTGTGGTGGAGATAGTTCTGCTGTCCAAGCCAAATTGAAGGGAGTGACGCAGATTCACAGCACGGATACTGCATTCGCTGCCATTTTGTTGGATGGGTCTGTGGTTGCTTGGGGAGACCCTAGTAATGGAGGAGACAGCTCGATGGTCCAAGACCGACTTCAAGGCATTGTGAATGTTCAGGGCAACCCTTCTGCATTTGCAGCTGTCACGGAGGAAGGGTCGCTTGTCACCTGGGGAGACGCCACCTTGGGAGGCGATAGTTCTGTGATACGAAGCAAGCTGCAACAGAAAGTCCGGCGAGTCACACCCTCTTTGAAAGGGTTCTTTGCCATTCTTGAAGATTGGTCACTCATTTATTGGGGGGGCATGTGCACATCAGGCATTGGCATGTCTGCGGTCAAGCATCAGCTGACTTCTGTGCGCCAGATCTGCTCCACAATGAACTCCTTTGCAGCCCTCCGGCAAGACGGTTCAGTAGTTACTTGGGGCTCCGAAGCCAGTGGAGGCAACAGCTGTTCCGTCCAGGCGCAGCTTCAAGATGTCCAAGAGATTTTTTCAACTTCAGGAGCTTTCGCAGCCCTTCGCACCGATGACACAGTCGTCATCTGGGGCCTCCCAGACGTCGGTGGAAGCATCAACAGTCCAGGTATGCTGACGGGTGTCAAGTTCATACATGGGTCTGCCAAAGCGTTTGCAGCAGTGCGACACAATGGATCCATTGTTACATGGGGAGCGCAGGACGGAGGCGGGGATAGCTCCGCAGTGCAATCTGCGTTTGCCACTTTCTAGTTGCAGTGACCATTAATGTTGCTATATATACTGCAGCTGCGGCAGGATTAGACATCTTCACAAACTTGGACATATGGTATAGACAAACAGGTCTGCGGCACAGCCTGCTATGGTGTAAAAATTTGCGACGGGAAGCTGGGCGCAATGGTAATCTAGTGGTCGAAATAGTCGGGAGATCTTCTCAATTCCTCAGATGCACTGTCCGCTGCAGCTGCCCTGCATGCTCAGAGAACCTGATGCTTTTTAACTACAGTGTGGTGTAGCATGTGCTTGTTTGCGCCTGGCTTCATTTGTTGGGCTCAAATTTAGGCACCTGCACTAGTTTTATTGACCTGTGCTCTCCGAGCCGGGAAATTGATGTAGACAGCGTGGCGTTGAGCTGACATTTGCATAGCTGACTTTGACAGTGATGGTTCATATTGATGCTGTCACTGATATTGTTGTTACTGTAAATATCAATGAGTCAGGAGTCATTGGGATAGATTCGACTTGAACATGACTGAAGCTGCCCCACTTGAAAGCAGCCCTCACAGGATTATGATTAGGCATGATGGGCCACCTTGGAAGCGCTCCAAAACCACTGTAGTCGGATATAACATTTCCTTGCCAAATGGCAGCAGCTGCAGAGTGCTTGGAGAGTGGGTCTTGGAGTTGAAAGTGCAAGCGCAGGAACAGCTCCAGAAGCCCTTTTTACAGCTATGTTCTCCTGAGGGATGCATCCTAGACCCAAACAAGAAATGTGATTCTTACGATGACCTGCAAGAGAATGCTACCATCACTGCAATTGCTCAGCAGCCCAAAGTTGCAGCAACCAATTGTGCATTTTCATTGTGGTGTACAGGTGGAAGCAGGGTGCTCTCCTGGGGACATCACAAGTCTGGAGGCGATGCCGCAGGTGTGATGCAAAGCTTGATCAATGTTGTGGACATGAAGGCCACAGAGCATGCTTTTGCTGCGATCCTCGGAAGTGGCAAAGTTGTTACGTGGGGCGATGCTGAAAGCGGTGGAGATTCTTCCATGGTTCAAGACCGGTTGCAGCATGTCCAAAAGGTGTTTGCTACAGACCGCGCGTTTGCTGCAGTTCTCAAGGATGGTGGCGTGGTCACCTGGGGCTGCGCCTTACATGGCGGTGACTCTGCTACTGTTCAACGTTTGCTCACAGGGGTGCAGGATATTGTTTGTACTGAAAGCGCGTTCGCAGCCATCACAGCTGATGAGAAGGTCATCACTTGGGGCAATCCAGAATGTGGTGGTGACTCAGGCACACTTCAGCTTCATCACGTTAAGCATGTCCAATCCACAAAAGCAGCTTTTGCGGCTTTGCTTGGAGACGGGACTGTTGTTGCATGGGGCTTTTCAATTTATGGCGGCAACACGGAGCCTATTGCACACGTCAAGACAATTCTGTCAACGAAATGTGCTTTTGCAGTCGCGTTGCCCTTTGGCCATGTGAAAATTTGGGGGTGTGATGGCAATGATGTTTGGCCCGCAACTCGCAATTGCGTGGCAGCCTCCACCAAGTTAAGAAACATCATCGACATTTTCTCAACACGCAATGCTATTGCGGCTCTTCAAAAGGATGGAACTATCTTGTCATGGAGAAATGAATCACAGGAACACAAAGAAATCAAAGGCGCGGTGAAGTTAACAGGAAACAGTATGTCCTTTGCTGCTATCCTTGCAGATGGAGGTGTGCAAGCTTGGGGCTGCCCAAGAAGTGGCGGAGATTGCAGCCACGTCCAAAAACAGCTCTGTGAGGTTCAAGACATCGTCAGCACAGACTATGCTTTTGCTGCAATCTGTGAGGGTGGAAAGGTTGTTACTTGGGGCAACTATGCCTGCGGCGGCGACAGCAGCCAGGTGCAGAACAAGCTTCAGAAGGACATCCAATCATTGCATGCAACGTGCAGGGCTTTCACTGCCATCAGCAAGGACGGGAGCATTATCACTTGGGGACATGCGACATACGGTGGAGATTCCATGGATGTGTGTGACCAGTTTCGGTACTTGTGATGTTGCTTCTGGTAGGAATTTGTTTGGCAGCCCGCGGCAGTCGATACACATGTCGGCAGATCTGGACATAGTATAGACAAACAAGTCTGTGGCACAGTCTGTTGTGGTGCTTAAAAAGTTGCAGTGGGAAGCTGGGTGCAGAGCCTGGTCCGCGCAACGGCAGGCAGTCTAGTTGCCGAGGTTTGGACAAACGTGGTATCATGATTCTTCTCAATTCCAGATCTACTGTCTGCAGCAGCTGCCCTGCATGTTCAGAGAACCTCATGCTTTTTAACCTACAATGTGGTGTAGCATTTGCTTGTTTGCGCCTGTCTCCGTTGGGCTCAAATTTAGGCACCTGTGCCAGTATTGTCAATCTGTGCTCTCCGAGCCGGGCGATTGACGTAGACATTGTGACATTGAATCATTAAGCTGATATATGTAGATGTACGTGTTAATGCTGTGAACAAGATCATCATTGTCATTTACAACCTTGTAGCTCTGTTTTGAAGCCATGGCCGACAAAGCGCAAGCGACTTGGCGAGCCTTCACCATTCAGGGGCCGCAGGTTGCCTTAGCTATGCTGCGAGGTTCCAAACGCATAGAATCTCGGAAGAGGCGGATGGCAGCTGGCTGGTACTATTTGCACGTGGGCCGTCAGTCAATCAACAGCTTGCCCCCCGAATGTTCGGCCGCCTTGCGCCAGACATGGCCGGATGCGCCAGAGGAAGCTTCTTTGTCCAAAAGTTGCGTGGTCGGGATGGTGTGCCTAGGGAAAGTGATTCAAGCCAGCAAGGTTGAAAACCCATGGGTCTGTGCCTCCTTGCCGTTGGTCCACGAGATTGTTGCCACCGTAGAGTTCAGATCCCCAGTTCGATGGGAAAAGGGGAAGCAAGCTGTCTGGCATGTCAAAGATGGAGAGATGCAAGGAAAGCTGAAGGAAGCAACCGCCTCGGGAGAAAGAAGAAGCTGGGATTCCTTGTGGCCAACTGCAGAAGATGAGAGACCCGCTGCCAAGCGCCAGAAGCTCACGCAGCCTTGGAAAAGCAAGAAGCGGAAGCGCCGTTCTGACGCTGGGAACACCCGCAGTCCGGCTCAAGTTTCCTTCACAGCATCCAAGCGTCGCCGGCTGCTTCTTCGCAGCCCTTTGCAAAAGCCGAAGTTGGCAAAAGCACCAGCATCAGAAGCCTTGCAGGCCAGCACAAGCCCGCAGAGGGGACCTGACCGTTGCAGTCTTGCCCAACGGGTGGCAGCAGGAAGGACGTTGGAGCTGCTGACAACACTGATGGCAGTGCATTTCCTGAAGATCTGTGATGCCAAAGTCACACAGTTGCAGCCCAGAGGAGGTCTCTTTGCTTTCCGGGACGATCAGCCGGTGTTCATTCTGAGTGTATGGACAAGCAGAAAAATTCCTTTGGCTGATGTGGTTCCATTGAAGCAGGCAACATTTCAAGGACAAACCGTCCTCAAAGCCAAATACACAGAGACCCGCACATGCAGACGGAGTGAGCTCAAAGATGTCGGCTTACATTTCCAGGTTGCCAACTGTGCGAATGATCGCCGCGGAGCGAGTGGCTTGGCCTCGATGATTTTTTGTAACATGTTGCCATCCTTTAAAGAGAGACCGAGACCCGCAAAAGATTGTTTTTATGTAGCCTTGCGTGCCTAGGCTTGCTGTTCCAGAAGCAACCGGGGGAAACACAAGGAGATCAAGGCAGAGCTTTGCGCGAGAATGCAGCTTTGGCAGCTCGCTGGCAGGCTGGCAATGCAGAGCTAGGTTTGGCCACTTCATGCACAGTTGATCACTCGGTGCGATCCGTTGTGCCAGTGCGTTTGCAGGCGCACCTGGCCGAACGAGCTGCTTCAGGTATTACCCATCACGCGGCCCCACGCGCAGATGAGAGCCGTTCCTTTTGGATTCTGGACCTGCCATTGCCAGTGCAAGTGGATGGTCGCCGCCATCGCTGCCATACGTGCGCGCACTTGCGCATCTTCGACAACTTTACCGTGGAGACACATGATGTTGTTGCAGCCTATCCTGACGTGCTGGTGCACTACGTGAAGAAGCAAGCCCCTGTTTTGATGACACGGCGATTCCTGCTCCATTTGGTGCAGCTGTTCTACGACCGCCTCAACTCTAGGGCAACGAGGCGAGCTTTGGTGGAGCAAATCTGTGGCAATGCTCTTTCCCTCAATGTAGCTGGGCGCATGAAAGAATTTTGCAGTGCAGTGCCCAAATCTGTATCCATCCGCTCCATTCTCATGGCAGCATTGGAAGATTACACCAAGGCAGCTTCACGCGAGATGCAGCGGCTCATCAATGTGTACAGTGGTTCAGTGATCAGAGGAGATGGAAACCACGATGTAGCAAAAAGGATTACAATGTATGATGAAGCAGGTCAGAAAACACACCCATATACGGTGCTCCTAGCTTGGGTCACGGTAGACGGGGCCTTGTTTCAGCCTGTAACAGCAGCTGAAACAGAAGACTGGGTCGACTTGCAACCTGATCTGGATGCTGTTGTAACCAACCTGAAGCAGGACAGGCTGGCATCAGGCCTGTCCTTAGCTGAGGCAGCCCCAGTAGCTCATGCCACGGACAGTTTCAGAAAGCAGCGTTTGCTGCTTGATGCATTTTACAAAAACAAGTACCACGAGATGGGAGTCGAGGCGGTTTCCCAAACACCAAAAGGGAACGCCCAAGGAGCAAGAGGTGGAGGCGTGTCTCCAACCATCGTATGCGGAGATCCGCTGCATGACCAGTTGGCGCTACAGCGCAAGGTAAGTGCAGCGAGTCCAGATGCCTCATGCCTCATTGCTGATCACAAGGACATCCTGCAGCGGTTGTCCTTGAAACCAAGGGTGGCAGAAGATGTTCCACCTGTGCTCTCTGAGCCGGGTCTTTTCCTTGAGCTTGATGAGGTCCATCATCCTCTACTGAAGTCGGTGGTTGAAGATCTACAGGCAACCGTGTCAAAACGACTGGAACAAGATCCGACTGGTGCGGCAGCTTTGAGAACTTTCCTGGAGCAACCCTTTGTCAACAAAGCCAAGACGTGGCGAAAAGTCTTTGCGGCCAGTCCACCACGGGGTGTGGTGCGACGCGCATGTCGAGCCGTTGGCGCAGAGCTTCATGACAGCATGGGGTACCATGGCTTTGCAGAGTTGATGGATTTCACAAAGGCTGTGAAGGAACTACGTGCTTGGTATGCTGATGGAAGGAAAAACAGCAGGCGCAGAAGAGGGATTTGTCGGGTGGCTAAAGCCAAGCCACGAGTGCAAGGAAAGCGGTCAGCCATCACTACCACAGTGGCAGAGCATTATGCGCGGTTGCTACAGCCGCTCCGGTTGCAAGGATTGTGGAAATGGCGCCAAGTGGCTCACTCAGTCCAAGATGCAGGAGTGCCTCTTCAAACTGGCACAGTGGCTGTGGAGCGCTGGTGGAGCTCTCTAAAGCAGATGCTGCCAAACGAGGCTAGATGCGTCTCCTCAAGGTGGTTTCAAGTTCTGGCACGGTTAGCATTTTTGCGCCACAATATTAGGCATTTTCAAGCAGGATCCACGGTGCCGTGGGCTGACGGCGACCCACTTTTGTCACAAAGAATCCAATTCTTTGAAGACTGCGCGCGCATGCTGCAGCAAACTGATGACAAGAATTGCCATCCAATTTTTGAGAAATTTGTTGATCCGTAATTCAGCACCGTATTGCTGCAGCGCAGGTGATAAGAAATCGCTTCTTTCTTGCTTTGTTCTTGCTTGGACAGATTTGGACAGATCGGACAAGTTTGTGAAGCACGGCAAAGAAATGATTAATCTGCTCGTCGGTTCTCCATACTGGATGTCCACTGCTGCACTGCATGATCTGACTGTTGCCAGCTATTCGCCTATATGTGCCTCTGTTGCCTTTGTTTTGGTTCGAAAAACTCGGGTGGACTGAATTAGTTCTGTCTACCTGTGATCAAGACAGTATATCATTGAGTCATTGAATCTATTGATGTAACACAATCTCACACACACACGAGCAGCATCAGAGTCACCCTTTTAAAGCCTCTAGCCGACTCTAGCCCTAACTGTTAATGGCGACGCAACGCCCTTTCTGCTGACGCCGCAAGATGCCTTCCCCCGGTGATGCTGAGTATGAAATTTGGCTGGACAATTTTTATTGTGGTGTGCGATCCATGGCTCCGTTTGGTGTGTGGCTCCCTTGGCAGGAGGTTGTGACCATGGCTGCAGCCTTTGGCTTTACAGAGGATGTGTGCTTTGAATGCGCTGACACCTGGTTGCAGCTGGATGCTCTGGAATTTGACCCTCCAAGGCGGTCTGGAGATGGCAGCGGCCCGGCAGATGTGCAGCGGATTCGCTTGCTCTACAAGCCTGATTTGCACGGAGATGATGGGCTCGTTATAGTTTCCTCTGACGAGGAGAATGTCATCTCCCCGCAGCATGCTCCACCAAACGTATGTAGACGCTGGCGTTCAGGTGCATTAGAGCCCATTGCGGGTGTTGAAGTTGACCTTGCATTGCCGCGGGCGCTGGATGAGCAAAATGTTCGTCTCTTGCTTGTCTACTGGCACCTGTACAGTCAAGTTGATCAAGAACGTCCGCCTGAAAATTTGCCGCCAGACATTCCGCTATGGGCTTGGGAGTTGTTTTCAAAACCAGGATTTCATTGGACTGAGGCTCGGGTTCAAGCGTTGCAAGAATCTTGTTTGCAGACGCTGCAGGCCGCAGACCGGAAATTATCCGTACCTGATTAGCGCCGCCCTGGCTTCGTCCACTTCGACCTGTGGGTCTCAACGGCATAGACGATATCGTGCTCTCAGTCGCAATCAACTTCCAGAACGTAGTCCTTTTGTACACCAGGCCAAGCAGTTTTTGATAGCGTCGCGAGGTTAAAAAAAATCGCTGCGCGCTACAGAAGTGTTGAAACTGAGAGATGTGGAGGGCATGTGAGCATGTTCACATTGTTCCGGCTGTCCACGCAGCACAGCATGCATGAGAGCCAGTTTGGTTGCATGGAGTCGATATCACGCTTGGGACTGCAAAGGTAAATCTGATTGACAAGTGCTCTCCGGTACCCAAGCCGCGCCATCAAGTTCAAGTTGTAGGAGTCAGCTTCCTAGACATGGCCACGTGTGAAGTTTGTGGAGATGATTTTGCAGACGATGCGGAAAAACACTTGTGCTCCCCGAGCCGAGACTCTTGTTTGCATGTGTGCCACGCGGATTGTTTGCAACAATACCGATTGAAGCAAGGCTGCCCTATGCATGACTGCCCATTCTGTCTTCAGACTGAAGATTCCCAGGAAGAGGCTGATGATGCCGCTTTGCAAGAGATGGAGATTGAGGCAGCAATGGAAGCAGAGGCTGTGGCTGAGGGGGCAAAAAGAAAGACCAGAGAAGAGGCAGCTTCGCCTGTCCGTGCGGGTGGGGGCCCAGCGGGCAAGAAGTTAGCAACCAACGCAAGCCCGCCAGGAGGAGAACGCAGCCCAGTGCCGCCCACCCAAAGGTCCCCAAGCCCAGAAAGCCCTCCCCTCACACAGGGTGGAAGTGAAGCAGCCCGCTTGTCCATTCCAAGCTTTGGGATTGACATCTACGACCTGAGTCGGACCAGCAAGGCATCTACCACGGTGAAGGATCCTATGCACGACGCCATGTCGGAGTACTTGGCTTGCAGGGATGAAGCACAAAGCCTTTCGTTGCTTCACACCAAGAGCACATACCAAGGGCTTGGAAGCCCAGAGGCTTCTTATCAAACCGTTCTAAAGTGGCTGAATGCAGCCTTGAAAGACCCCAGGGACCACCACGCTGTGGCATCAGACTTTGCCTTCAGCACTCGAGAAATGCTGCCCGTGCCTTTCGAAGTCAGCTTGAGAACCATTGCCCGCAAGGAAGGTTGGGAGCCTGAGACATTCATGGCGCCGATCCTCAGCAACATTGGTTGGATGGAGCATCCAGGCACGCGGCTTCGATTGCAGCCTGATGAGGAGCACCGACGTGGCTGCGTAGTCCAAATTGTTTGCGCAGGTGACCCCAGCATGCGCAAGAGTTCTCTGAAGGATTTTACCAGCAAAAAGCTTCTTTCCCATGCAGATGTCCCTGCTGTCATCAAGGCAGGTGGCGCCACATGCACGGATGCCACCATCAAGGGTATTCGTGCTTCTATCAAAGAATATGCCCGAGCTGGCATCATTTCGGATGAGATTGCCACAACATATGCCGTGACATCCGGGAGGGAGACCCGACACTCAGGTCTGCATTACGGCAACAAAGAAAAGATGTGCACTTGGCTGAACTGCGAAGATGACAAGACAGTCACTGGAGATGGTGCCACGGCGCTGACTCATTACACCTTCGTTCACCAAGTGTATGGACAGGTGTCGCTTTGCGAGTATGTGCTCCAGCCAACTGCAAGCATGTTTTCCAAGAGAATCCATGCGACGTGGCAAACAAGGCCAGTGACAAGTGACCCTGATCAGCAGAGCCAATCCAGCAAAGAGTTCCTGATTGACTTCTTTGGTTGGATGGGGCGCGTGGCAAGCAACCATGACAAAGACCACTACTTTGACAAGTTCGCCTTGCCCGTGCTCAGGAAGGCTTTGCAGGGAATCTACGACTTCTTGCACGAGAATCACGAGAATGTAGAAGAACCAATCCAACAGAAGCTACGCTATGCTGACACAGATGTGGCTCGGTACGCAAATGCAGCCATGCGTTGCAGGCAGTATGCTGAGGCCCGCCGCGCTTTGGCCCTTGATAGGATCGTAGATGAGCCTGCCGTTGAGATGACCATCTTCGATTTGGGACATGCCTTGCATATCTGGCGTCGCCAAATGTGCTTGTGGTTTGCCTTCTATCGCTCCAAGCAAGTCCAAGCCTTGGTAGGCCCCAAAGCCATGCCAGATGTCAAGACCCCAGGACTGACAGATTTGGATGCCAAGATGAAATTGCAGCGAATCATTCTGTCCAATCCTCGATGTGCTGGTCCAACCTCAACTGCGCACATTCGCTCTGTTCTGAAGTACCACTTTCAGAAGGGGAAAGAGGAAAAACCAGCGAAGTACATCTTGGCAGCAGTCAAAGACCTCTTGAAGGTTGGCATTTTGCGAGAGGTTGACAAGAAGGAAGTGGAAGAACAGGCGCCCAAACTTAAGGACAAGAAAAGTGCCAAGAGCAAGGAGGCCACGCCAAAGAGCGAGCCACGAGGCCCGCCAGGTGGCCACGCTGTCCTGTACTACCAGAAATGTGCCTGGGAAGACCTTTTGACTAATTCGGAAGCTCAAGACATGATTGCCAAGCTGCAACTGAGTGCCAATGATTTCAAGTAGGATTCCAGAAATACGAGGTCTTGCACGGTCCCATGTCTAAACTGTCAGCCAAAAAGCTTGACAATGTGCTCCAAAGCACTTGTTGTATATGAGTCTTGTTTCCAAAGATACGCGTCAATAATGGTGCGATTCCTCGAAAATAATTTCTGGCTTCTTTCCAGCCCGAGCGTGTTCCTGACCCTGCGAGGTGAACGCTTTCAATCAAGACTGTATGGTGGCTGCAACATATTGTGCGTCAATTTCAATCAAACCCACCCATCTTCATGACAAGACATTGCTGTGTGAAGATCTTGCATAGTGGTTCATCATCGTGTCCAAAGCCACATTCAAAACAGTCTGCTTGGCCTTCTAGTGTTCAATTGTGTGCGCTGGTGGCATGAGATTGACAAAGGCCCAATCTACTCTTTTTGAGGCAGAGCGGACAACCAACACTGCAGCTCCAAAATAGTTTGCGCGTCGCATGTGAAGCCACTGTTCGCTGAGCATAGCCGTTCGAGATGTTGAAGCAAGACACATGTTTTATTTGTTCCTGATCAAGTCCAAGAAAGATGCATGCGTGATGTTAGTACGCAATCAAATATAGATGGCGCAATAGTCCACTCATCACTGTCACCATCGGGTCTGTGGTCCCGCGGGGCACGTGCACTGCGCGTCGGTGCGCATTCCCGGAATGGCTGGAGGTTGCTTCCGGTGCTGCTTGATGCTTAGTGTCACATTGCTGTCATGTAATGTTCAACGCGATTTTTCTAGGACATGTTTAAACATAGTCAATCTTTGTTTGGTCTCATACAGACCTTCTACAAAAGGATCTTTCTTGCACAGCAGCGTCTAGAAAGAACCTGTCAAGGAGATCTTGCACACGTCTTCTACAGAGATCTTTCACAAAGGGAACTTGCGGAATCCAATCTGGTATCCTTGCAACGCTGTTTGGAGTCTCTTGCCGGGATACTTTGGGGGGTGCACCTTCGATCCAAACTAGGAATGGAAAATCACACTAGTGTAATCGATTATGAAAAAAACAGGACATGAAAAACGGAACAATTAATTTTGCATTCCTGTTTGATTGAGTGTGCCACATCTAGCCCAAGTAGAGATTTTCCAGCACCCCATGTAATTTTGACAGTAAAACCATATTTTATAGATGATTTCCCAACTATCAATCATCCAGTTTCGACCATTATCAACATAACCCCAACAGTTTCCCCTTGAAATGGGTACGAAATCAGCAGATTTTGTTTTGACGAAATCAGCAGAATTTCCCTTGCATTTCTCTCTGCCTCATCACCTTTAAATTCCAGCAGTGTCAAAAACCCTTTGGTTCATTGTACATATTTCCCATTGCTTCATGTTTTGCCAAACAACATCCCAGATATGGCACGAACTCGGTATATCATCCTTCTCGCCTTCGAACAGGACGAACTGATGGTGTGCGCATTTTTTGTCATTGTATGTGTTCAGATGATAAGCTAATATAATTCACTAGGTCAATTATTTGATCCAGTAAAAACAATATTAGAGGAATAAGAATAGTTAGAATAAATAGACATATGATACACTTGACCTATCAGCCTGAAAGCATGACATGGACAGCTCTCTTGAGAGCATTCGGCACAATGCAGCACCTGTAAGTCAGCACAACGCACTGCAAAAACGCTAGCAGTGCATTAGCTGCGGTCACGGCAGCGGCAAACTCCAGCCATGTTTGAGTTGCCAGCTCAGTCCAAAAAGGGACAAACACGTCGATCAATATGTCTAATTATGATCCTAATTGCACCTTGTCCGTCCCATCCGAAATCGAAGACGGTTGCGCTTCGCAGGTTTTCGTCGGCTCACAAATGATGCGGGCTGGAACGTGATTCTTGCCAGGTGAGTTGCTTGTAAGGAAGTGTGCTGAAAGTTGAGTGCTCATCCCTATTATCTGAGCATCCACGCGATTCAGTGGGTAGGTATGGTCAGCTTGTCATGGACTGGGCAACTTTCACATTTCCAGCTGAGTACTACTGTTCGTAGTATCCCCATGAGAAAACAACTTTATAACATTTTATAACCGTAATTTGCTATTATTTCGATTTTTTCAACCAACTAATTATTGGTCCCATCATCTATGTGTAGTATCTGCATATTATCTGCATTTGGAACCACTCTTCGTCTCCCCAAATGAGTTGCCACTTCGTGACCATTGTGACATCAGCCATGCCCAGTTTGGATGGCTTGGAGCAAGTCGAACCCAGCCCTTCGGAGGCGCTGTTGGCGCGGGTGCTGTGGATCACCATCTTTTCGTTTGGTAGACCAACGAACTTTCTGTGGGCCATGGCTTCCAGTATGCCAATTTATGGCACCTTTGAGTGGGGGAAAAATGGCGCAATGAATTTGGGGTCCCAATTACTCGAGAAATCAGATATAGGGTGGATGCGCCAAATTTGTGATCCCATCGTTTGTCACAGTTTACAGCACCCCCCAAAATCAAGGTGAACAGGATTTTTGCGGCCGCGAATTTGTACATGAGGCTATGTCATGAAGCAAAACTGCGATGATGAAGGGTATATACATGGTAAATTGTCTAGGTAAATGGTACATGTATATATGATATCTCAATTTCTAAAACTTTTTGGGGTGTACCACTACCCATGGAACTTTCGAGTCGATTGGTCAGGTCAACTTCCAGATCGAGGGAAGCGTGCGCGTGTCCGGCCGAGGTTGTACCATTCCGCTCTCCCAGCACCGTCACCGTTGAGGAGGCTGGGACCCTGGGATGGATGGTCGACAGGTGCACAAGGTAGGGGTTACCCCCAAATAGTGATGTCATGTAGCTCATAAACCATTAAAAACCCCAATAACTATAGCTATATCTGCCATGCCAAGTATCCCATATTTTCCAATTATTATCTACGCATCCAATAATTTTGGTTGCACAAAACCTCTCCACCACTGGGAACGCAGGTTTTTAAGACGTTCCAGAGTTGGGGTGTTGTGCTCAGGTATCAACAGGGTGAGTTTGACATGCAAACAGAGATGGAACTAAGAAAGATGCTGATTTTACCTTTAGAAACTGTGATTTGGCCTTGAACAATGCCGATTTTACCCACGAGAAATTGTGCTTTGACCCGGCAAGAATGGAGATTTGACGAACAAACATGAAGATTTAACCAATGAAAGAGTTGGCGTTTCAATAAAAAGGGGGGTGCTCAATTTTGAGCTTCGCGCCCTTTGGTGATCAGTTGATCCGGACGGTGCCGCTTGTACGTGTGTCCCTGAGGTGTACCGTATCTGAATCGCAGCCGCTTTTTAGCTCCAGATGGCAGGAGCGAAATGTGTAGCACCATGCCACGTCTATGTCATGCCCTTGATGCAATTTGGCAGTGGCCGATTCGCAAATTTGCACTTGCCTTGCCTAGTGAACTTCAGATTTTCAACTTTTTTTTTTTGCGAATGTTCGCAGTTCTAGGTCCTTAGGTCGGTTCTAAGTCGGCAAAAGCATCTACAAATAAATAGTTCTGACATCATAGTTCTGCAAATAAATGTTAAGCATGCTTGATGTGATAGTTCCACTGCAACTATAATCACCAATGGTTGATAATTATGATTCACCATCTAGGGAGATGAAAGATAAAAAGTTGCACGCAGTTGTTGCACGCCGTTGTGGCGCGAAGCAGATTTGGAAATCAAAAGATACAAAACACAGCAGCGTCGGAGCACTTTTGAAACTTGAGATGTTGAAAAAGTGCACGGCGTTGTGGCGCGAACACGACACTACGCTACACCCTACCCTAGACTACACGACTACACTACACTACACTACACTATACTACACTATACTACACTATACACTACACCACAGCACACGACACGACACGACAGGACACGACACGACGCTACACTACGCTGACACTACGCTACACTACATGACATTACATTTACATTGCTTTACATTGCATGACATTACATTACATCACGCTACACTACAGCTACACCTACAGCTACAATTACACCTACACTACAACTACACAATCACAACTACAATTACACCTACACTACAACTACATGACAGCTACAACTACAACTACACTACGCTACAGCTACTACTACACTAGACTATACAACTACACTACACTACAACTACCCCACACTACACTACATGACGCTACACTACACTGCACTGCTTCCAACCACCTTGCAATCCATCAGTGGATTCGTTCTGCAATTTTTGCGTCGCACCCTCTTCTATAGTTTGCTATTCCTGAAACTTCCGCCACCGCCTTGTGCGGTACTACTGGTATTTTGCAACGGCTGGAATGTTTGTTTCGTAGGAGAAAGACAAAAATCAGACTATTTAAGCATCCCCGTACCGCTCCTGCAGGAGAACAGCGGGCCCATAACAAGAGGGACATAGAGGAACGCGCAGACGAAGAAACCGCTATTTCTACCATTTTAGGCGTCGTTGGGTGGTATGAGAGTCAATTGTTTGACAGGGCCCTGGCAGGCTCTGGATTAGGTTAAAACATGTTAGAACTGAAACATGGGTTCAGCACAGCGGCAGTTGCATAAACTGCTGTTTGCGGGTTGTGCTTCACAGGTGCAGTGGATTAAGCAGCACGGGCGCCCAATTCTATGCTTGGATTAGCTGAGAGTGTCCAAATTTCAGATCTTGTTGTTTGGAAGGGCGGATGTTTTTTACAGCTGAGTCAGTTGGAACAGCCATCACTATCTGTCCCAAAGTTCGTGCGTGACACGGTCAATTTTCATAACACGCCTGGTAGTGATTTCGCCACGTGATTCCCCCCAGACATGGACACAGTTTTGTGGCATGGCTCATCAGTACCTGACCTGTGCTCTCGGAGCCGGGAGTTTGTTGAGAACAGCAGAGCATGAGCACAGGCAATGGTTTGCAATGTGGTCCAAAACAATGTAGAAGCAGATTTCAATCGTTTGTAGCAATTTGCAAAAACATTGTTGCTGTTGTCACCAGTAGACCTGTGCTCTCCGAGCCGGGAATTTGACTTTTTTTGGCCTTCAACTTGGGGCCATGGATCTGGTGGTCGTTCTTGGGCTACGGCCCGGAGAGGAGCTGCCATGGCAATGCGTTCAAGATGCGAATGTGCGTGGCCTCCTACAGCAGCCCAGTAGGAGGACCACAACAATTTACGTGCGGATCGGTGATTATCAAGAGAATTGGCATCTGAAAGCTTCCTGTGCTTTGCCTTTCCGAACCCAGGAATGCACTTCCTCCGATATCAGTTCTGGGACATTCAGCAACAATGCAGGAGCATATGATGTTCTGAAAAGCTGTCAATTTCCAGAAATAGATGCAGATGTTGCGGAAGCAACTATGGTGAGGGATGATAGGCTGTTGCAGAGCATGCAAAATTTGTGTGGCCGCTTGGCAGAAGTCCAAGGCACAGAGGATCGGCAAAGGAAGCGGCGGCTTCAGAAAGCTGGTCAAAATTTGGCTGGCATCTTACAAGCTCGCCAAGGCCCAGCGCCCACCCTGATGAGCGTGGCCCAGAAGCAAAGTTTTTTGACGGCTACAGCCAGTTACTTGCAGGATTTAGGCCCTGACAATTCTTCTGAAATGCCCAACCTGGGTACTTGGTGTACGGTGGCTACCTCAGAATTTGGGGCTTGGTTGAAGCCTGGTGTGCCTGGAGATACACGGCAAGTCCTCTTGCTGCTCTTGCGGCAGTTACAACAGAAAGCCCACTTTGCTGTGCAACATGGTTTGGCGCAACCTGTGAAAGGGGCGCTTGTGCGCACGACTGACCATCGGAGGACTGATGGGCAGCACGTTGCTAGATTGCTTATGCTGGAAGATGCAGGCTCAACAACTGCAAAGAACTGCTATATGTGGGTTTGCCCGCGCGTGAAGCTGGAGACGGCTTTGCGAGAAGGTGCGGCCGATGTTTGGGGCCTGGGTTCACTCCATGTCGTGGTTGGCAGTTCCAACATGAGAGGCAGCCAGCTGAGCTTACAGCCTGCTTTTTCAGATGAATTCTCGGAAGGCACAGAAGTTTGCACAGTGCAGCTTGCAGACATTCATGAGTTTGTTTTTTTGTTTCACGCCATCGTGGCAGCCTGTCGCACTAGACCCCCAGCATCAGCTCTCCAAACTGCAAGCAAAGATTTATTGTCCATGCCCCCGCTTCTCCAGCCTTCCGTGCCTGGATGGGGATTGGCCCCGTCAGACCAGAGACAGCCATCTGGAACCAGCTGCTGGGTGTGAATCGGGAGGAGCTATTCAAATTTGCAGAATCCCAGCTTGGCCTCCATCTGACCATGGGTCAGCAAGACATCATGCGCCAACTGAACGGCGTTGTAGCCGTGATCAATAACTTTGCTGGAGGGGGGAAGACAACTTTGCTGGCTGTCATTGCTTCGTACATCATCCAGCAGTTCCAGGAGCGAGCCCCCGGGTCCCGTCCTTTGGTTTTCTTCATGAGCACGACGAAGAAAGTCGTGCAAGATTTTGTTGCTGAATTACAGGGACATGTGCCTCTTGAGGCCACAGCAATGCTCGGATTTGAAGAATCCGAAGGGGACCTGTTTCAGAAGTATTTGCAGGAGGCCGCGGATCGCATGTTCACAACTTTTGCGAAGATGTATGGCAAACTAGATGCCATCATCGGCCAAATTCATCACTGGCTTTTGAATATGGTCGTACCTGTGCTCACTGAGCCGGGAAAATATCTCCGATTAGCCTTATTGCTTTTGCAATGGAGAGGCTATCATTTGCAGAATGTTGTGTATAGCCAGATTTACAGGATCAAACAGGAAGCGGTGCAAAAGGTGGCTCTCATCGGTTCCACCACCTCCTACATGGCCAAGCTAGCTGCCAGTAACATTGGTTGGGCACGCTCGCTCAAAGAGCGCCGCAAACTGATTCTGTTGCAGGACGAATACATGGGGGAACCTGCTGAAAGACAAGCGGTGAACCTCCTAGACTTTGAGGCCGTGCTGTTGGCAGGTGACCCGCACCAGTGCGTGGCTCAGCGACCGCAGCTGTCGCCAAATGCCGCATCATTGGCACAGCTCGGGCCACGAGCTGAAAGGCCACTCCAGTGGCACCCATGCCTGACGTGGCTGGAGAACCACCGCCACACCCAACGCATCCTCAACCATGAGACTTTCAGAACTGGAGAGCCAGCGATGAGCTTTCTGAAAGCTGTTTTTGGGAACGAGATGCTTGGCGAATGCATTTCCAAGGCCAACCATTCTACTGCAGTGATTCCAGTTTTGTTTTGGGAGGTTTGGGATTGGATTCCTGGAGGTAGCGGTGAATGCCAACGTTCACTCACAATTTTCTCCGCCATTGCGTCTGTGCTGGCGGCGGAAGTGCTGAAAAGCTTGCAAACGGCAAAGCCGTCAAACGTGGTCATCACTGCTTTTCTGCTGACGCAGCTCCGAGCACTGGAAGCATTCTTGCACACTGTGGTGCCTCAGCTATGTTTGGCCATGCAGGGCATGGCTGGGTTGGAAGGTGTCACAGCAGACCAAATCAAAGGTGTTATGCAACTGTGGCAATTTCGCGGCCCATACAGTGTGGGAGGAGCCAACTCTGATGTGGCGATCTGCTTGGGGGTGCGGCGGCAGGTGACAGATAAAGCTTGGCGGGGTTTGGCTTTGGAAAAGCCGTTGATTTACACGGCGCTAACCCGCGCCAAGCACCGACAATACCTATTTTTTGAAGACCTACGGGGTGAGGTTGTTCTCCCACATCGTGGGACGCTGGCAGCCACGGGGCGGGCCCTGGGCCTGCGCAATTTTGCCATTCCCACGGCCCAACTGAACGCCACCACAGTCGAGTCCCACTTGCTTTGGACAAGGGCATTGTGGTCAAGTGTCGAAATCTTTCAAAGAGACTTCGACAGACAACCCTGGTGGAGTTGTCGCCCTGAAACACCATGGCTCTTTTGGAGCCCGAAATGGCGTGGCATGATGGGTTTGCAAGGTCCAAGTGCATGGCCGGACATGATGTGTTTGGTTGCCAGCACATTTGATGAGATGATTTGGCCGGACGAGGGTGGAGAAGATGGGGAATTGGCTGCAACCTTTTTTCGTCACATCACACTCCCACAGGTCTCTCCGACCGGGAACCGCCCAGTTCCATCTGCAAAGGCGTTTCAGGACAGGATCTTGGCTCGCCCAAGGCGGGAAGTTGTGCTACAGTTCTGGTCTTCTATGGTGATCGACAACCTTGCTGTCTCTTATGGAACCAAGGATGCAGTTGTTCAGATGCCACTGATGGCTTACATGTCACCTGAAGCTTGGGCACGGCTGCTTTTGCCGGATGAGGCAGCAGACGTACGCGAGGCAGTCATTGACCCGAACTACGCCGCAGAGATCTTGGTCGCGCGGGCTTTGGACATGTACACGCAGACGCCAGAGGCTCGGGATAAGGGTTTCGAAGGGGGCCGGTGAAACATGCTGCCATGCATTTGTCATTATCGTGCTCTAGTTCCCAATATTGTACGAATTTTGGGTATCTGCTGGGATACAAGCTTCTCATTGGTTATGGACCTGCTTGCGCAGCAGGTAAGCCCAACTGTTGCATGGTGCCGGGTCTTTCATGTGTAAGGGACGTGCGGTCATGTTGTGGCTGCTGTGTTGCTCTTTGTGCACAAGAGCTGGTATCCCGACCCACAGCGCTGATAGATGCTAGCTTTTTACTGTTCACGGGGCTGCTCGTGCAGGCATGCTCACCGAATGTGCTGGCTGGGAGCTGGCTGTGTGCTGGCTGCCTCATCTAAGCCGCCCATCCCCCCCACCCTACTAATAGATGTAGTTGTTGCATGTGCAGCAGGTAATCTTTGTGGACCTGCCTTCGCAGCAGGAAATCCCAACTGTTGCATGGTGCCGGGCTTTCATGTGCAAGGGACGTGCAATCATGTTCTGGCTGCTGTGTTGCACGCTAGCGTTTTATTGTTCGCGAGGTTACTTGTGCAGGGCATGGCCACCCAGTGTGTCAGAGATGCATTCGCATGTTCTGGCTCTAGGTGCTGGCTGTGTGGCTGCCTCATCTAAGCCGGCCTTCCCCCCCCACGCTAGTGATAGATGCAAGGTTTTTTATTGTTCATGGGCAGGAAGCAATTTGGGTAGCAGTGGACCATCGACGGGTTTGTAGTGGCTTTCTAGGTATTGCCCTACACTTAATAAAGATGTCAGCGTCGAATTCTTTTCCCCAAATTCGAGATGTTTGGGTGTAAATATGTTTCTCGTTCAAACACTATCAAGCAAGGATTCATGTGATGGAGCTTCTGTATGGGGGCTGAAACATGGGGCATGACCGAGAATTTCACACGACCAAGATACCATATTTGAGTGTATAAGAAACAGTGGACCATGCAGCGGTTTGTTCCTTTCCATGTATTGCACACCACATTAGAAAGATGTCATCGTCAAATTCTTTTCCCGCATATATGACTGGCATGTTCTGATTGAGACCGGGTGCAATCCACACCTACCTGTTTACCTGTAACTACGATAGGCCTATGTTTCTCATTCCAGCAACATCAAGCGAGGATTCATTCGATGCAGCTTCCGCATTGGGGCTGAAGCATTGGGCAGGACGTAGAAATTGAAATTGAAATCGGTCGTTTGCTTATGTTTCGCTCAAAAGAAATGGATGCTTACTTCAAATGCAAGCTTTTGCTTTGGCCCATCTGTTTACAGTTGGTAGGTGAAATTGACTGTTGAGTGGATGGTCAAGCAGAGGCTCACGGTTTGATTGGTGGATGCAAGAGCACGCATCAAGATATATCAAGATAGTGGTCACTAGGGATTGTTTGCTTACCCGCTACAAGTGTTTCAGTGATTTGTCTGCGTTGTCAGTCAAGCAGTATTTGCGGCCCCAAAGCTAAAGTGCAGAATTTGCAGGAGCGTTAGGGTGTTGGCTCAAGGTTGCAGCAAAGCAGGGCTTTCAACCCAGTGTGCGCTAGACCGCGTTGCGCGCAGGCATAGCTCAATTGAAACGGTGTGCGAGCAATTGGCCAGCTGCACATGGTTCTGCACTTTGTGCCAAGCAAGCTGTTGTCTGTAGTGTTTCTGCTTGGGTAGACATTGGTAGCTGAGCGGATGCCTGGGTTGCTTGCTGCTGCATTTGACTAGACTTTCGGCATGGCTAATCGATATGATATGATGGCAAAATCGCCTTTGGAAGTAGCTGGGGAATTGGCCTATCAGGCCACAGACCTTGTCGGCCTAGCTAAGGGATACCATGACCAAACCGCTTTGTAATCGAATTGATTTGCCATGTCAGGCCACCGACCTTGTGGAGCAAGGTGTGAGACTGGAGCAGCAAACAACGGTACACAAATGGGATCCTGTCACGATCGGAGTGCAGGAATTTTACATCCCACAGTGCCGATCAGAACGCCCGGCCTACACCATTCGAGCCGTAGCGTCTTCGGCCACCACTGAGCTTCTCCATACCTACTGTTGCATGGGCTTAGAGCGAGCCCATGAGCATCAGCAGGTGGTCTTGTCCAGGTGCAGATCGCACAGTGTGGCCCGGTGCATCATGCTGGCCGCTGCTGAACTCTTCGGCCACAAAGTGCGCAGAGAGCTCGTTTGCAGCGCTATTCCTGAAGAAGCCGGGAAGAAGGAACAAGTGGAGAATGAATGGAGGGAGTGGCTCGAGCTCCTTGCGGAAAGGGAAACAAGGAGACTGCCGTCCTTCGATGCCGAGGATGTTGACACCGAAATTGAGTTGAGTGTTCCCGTGGAGCTGCGGGACGCCTGCCGGGAGATCTTGGCGGCTTTGAGATGAAATGCAGTGAAAAAATTATTCCTTCCTTGAAACTTTGAAGTTGCATGCTCTTGGAATGGTTTGGAACGTTGCACTGTGCTCTATCCCGGTTTGTCAATGGAGAACCCCAGAGAAATTTCCGTGGAATCGCAGTGATTTTCTGTGTGATTTGGCTGTCGCTTTCAGGATTTCACGATGACAGTCGGGAACCCCATGGTTGGTCTCCCCAAGCGTCCACAGTGCATCCCTCATCTCCAATACGCATTAGCACGGTATTTCCATTGCACTGGGCGCGCCATGTAGTATGCCAGCAATGTATTTAGTTGGTATCGACTCGCTGGCTCAAGTTTTGCAATTTGAAATTCTGGTAAGGAGAGGGACCAGCTTTAAACCTTTACGGATTGTTGGAACCGCGTGAGATGTTCCTTGTGCGATTCGGATTCTAGCTATCTACCTATCTATCTATCTATCCTTCTTTCTTTCTTTCTAAGACTCTTTACAGGGAGTTGGGATTGGTGAGACCCCGACAGGAGTTCTTTGAAGTAAGTTATCTATCTATCTACCTTTCTTTCTATCTTGTAGTCTGTCTATCTACCTATCTATCTATCTATCTGTCTAAGACTCTTTACAGGGAGTTGGGAATGGTGAGACCCCGGCAGGAGTTCTTTAATGTAAGTTATCTCTCTATCTAACTATCTATCTACCTATCTATGTCTATCTATCTATCTATCTATCTATCTATCTATCTATCTATCTCTATCTGTCTATCTATCTACCTATCTATCTATATCTCTATATCTATCTGTATGATCACAAACATCCACAGTTTGCATGGTTTGCTCCATGGATTTCGCAAATCATGTTCCACCTCTTCCAACAGTTCCCAAGATGTTCCGGATTTCCCACCAAATCTGTGCCAAAACTGCGTCACTTCAGGCGAACCTACCAGTGCTTGGAGCCCGCGGCCAAGTTGTGAGGCAAGTTGTGAGGCCGGATGGAGATCTGGGGGTCCCAAGCCATCCGAAGTGTTGCCTATTTTAAGGCTTATACTTCCATTATTATTGTTGATGTGTTATGATATATGTAGTGGGGTAGATGTTTATATTGTTTATTTATCATTGACGAAATTGATGGTTGGAATTTATGATTGATCATACGGATTGTGACAGCCCATAATTTACGGGATACCTATTGACCAAGCTGTACGGTGAGATGTGATGTGCGTAATTTCATGGCTCAATTTATCCATCTGAGAGGCAGCAACTGTCGTTCAATGATGGTTGGCAAGCACCAGCATGCCAGAGTCTGCCAGAGATGAATTGTTACCAGGAAAATTAGATGCAACATCAACATCCCATCCAGACATATGCAGACAACCGAGAGTCGAAACTTCAAGAACTTCCTGAAAACTCTGATGAGTGGCTAATCCAGCAGGGTGACGAAATCACAAGTCTTAGCAATGAAAAGTGTCCAGCTCCCAAAGAACATATGACCTGCAGGATTAGTCTAGCTGGCCTCGTTCCTAGATAGGAGGCTTCACAATTGAGATCCCAGCAACGAATATCACGAATTTTGCGGGTCTAAATGGTACCCCATGTTTGTGCCATATTTACGCCATACTTACAGATATTATATATATATATATATAGACACTATAATATATATATATATATATGTACATCATTGATATTATATCATGTACCAACTGGTTGTTTGCCCTCCTTGGATCATATAAAAAATGGTCCTGTGCTGTTCAGGTGGTTCTCCGCAAGGAGCTAGGCAGGGTTCAGGGGAAGACTGATTGTTTTTCCATTTTTTGGCAACTTTGATGGGGAAGAAGATGCTTTCAAACCCCATTCAACCACTGGATTTCAGCTTTGGCACTGAACCTCTTTGGCCTTACCGGACTGCTGTGCCAGGTTTCTCCAAATCTGACGCCAGCCGATTCTCGTGAAGCGAGCCGGTGCGTTTTCACTTTGAGCGAGGTTTTTTCAATCTTCCAAAGTCTTGCTGTTTGAGTGAAAAGGTTGTAGAATGCTTCAACATCTTGGGCAAAATCGAAGAACCTCGTTGCTGTTGCCTCTTGATCATTCTGTTGTTAGCATGTTCTGCCAACACTTAGCAGACTGACCAAATGCATACCTATTCTTCGGAAAAGGATGGCTCGAACGGCTTCTCTACTTTTTGATTTTACTTACGGAGCAGGCTTTTGAATCTGTACATCGTGTTGCTCTGCTCAGGTCCCATTTACCCAATCCCACCAACTGCAGTGGGCAGATCGAGAAATGGAAGTGCTTCTTGTGAGTAGTCCCATGATAAGTCATGGAACCTTCCATATGGGTATGGATGGTGATATGATCACAAAAAGGATAACATGAATGATTGTGATGATTGTGGATCGTATGGTGATGGGGATCATATATGGATACGGATCATTTTATGGGTGTAGATCATACTAAGAATGACCCAAGATGCTCCCCCGGCCCCTCCATTTTCACGTCGACCCGTCAGGCGGCTCGCTTCTACACCTAAACTTGCGAAAAGTGTTGCATTAATATTCCAGGCATGTAAACTCGCCCACGCCCCAACAAGGCATGGATGGATTTTTGGGAGAAAATGTGCATACATTGTGGTTAGTTCGAACATTCCACCTTCTTCACATAAGTGTCTTCCCCACCCCGCTCAACTGCGCTTGACACCCTTCGCCACTTACTCCCCGTCGGCCGCCCCACTCGCCCCCGCCCCACTCGCCCCATTCGACCCCACTCGCCCCACTCGCCTCCCTCGCCCCCTCGCCCCACACGCCCCACTCGCCCCACTCGCCCCACTCGCCCCACTCGCCCCACTCGCCCCACTCGCCCCACTCGCCCCACTCGCCCAAACATTCCATTCACGTTTTACCACCTCTATTCCCTTTTCATACTGCTGGTGGTGAAACCAAAGCAAGCGGGGCAAGCGGGGCAAGCGGGGCAAGAGGGGCAAGAGGGAAGAACCACCGATCTTCCCTCGGTTTGCAAGTAGGGCAAGCGGGGCAAGCGGGGCAAGCGGGGCAAGCGGGGCAAGGAGGAAGATTCACTTATTTTCCCTAGAAGCGGAGCAAGCGGGGCAAGCGGGGCAAGCGGCAGAAATCACTTAGCGGCCCCGCGGGGCACCCACACTGGGTAACATTAACCCACAATATGGAGTCCCTGGGTGTGTCTGAAAATTTGGCATGCGTGAATTTGTGGTCATTTCATTCAAGAAAATGATGACTAGCCAGTGGATTTAGGCGTATATTGTTTTGAGACAAACCCATCAGCAAGAGACGGGTACGGTACGAAAACTATGAGGAAAAGGAACGGATTCTCAAATTTGATCCCATCTAGGTTGAACTGGAGGGATAAGAGATGGCCTTTGGCTCACGCCTCCTTCAGTGTCCTGTTGAAATATTTGACCAAGTAGGCACCAGGGAGAAATCTTGGGATGAATGATGTGGAGTTGCAAGGGGGGCCATGCTGATTTGATATCCCTGCTCCCTGCACGTTTTTCTACAATAGGTTTTGCAGGCTGTGTGATTTGAATAGTATAATATGATAAAATCTATGCATGCCTTTTGTTTGTTTGCGCTTGATTTTTCCTACCCCAACATTCCGGGCAGGATCCCCAGTTATAGATAGTTATAGCATGCGTTTGCTGCTCAGGACACCTTACTCCCTGCCGCTGAATTTCATTGGTGTTGGCTTCATGCTCTTGGGCGCGCCTAGGCTGCTGCCACAACCACAGAGCTCTCAGAGTTCTTCGAACCGGGCTGAAAGTGATGTGATTCTGCCTCCCCAGCTGACTGCGGACGAGGAGTGGTGACAAACTAACATTGGGGTCATGGCAGGTACGTTGCCAAAGTGATCCAAATTGAAAAACATGTTTCATGATTCTGGTAAATTTCTCCTTCTTTTCCTCTCACACACACACTCATATATATATAATATAAACAGAGAGAGAGAGAGAGAGAGACCATCAGCCGAAGAATGCAGCATGTTGCGCCATTTTAATGCCACATCAGCACACATTAGGCCGTATTTTGACATAGATTGTGGGCCCGCTCTTCCCAATGTTGGTGCAAGTAGATCCCCCATATCTTCATCCTGTCCGCTCTTTTAATGGGTTTTGACTGCATCTGTTTTGAACAACTTGATGTTTGTGCAAATATATACTGTAGATCCTCTTTGGTGTGCTTTTTTTGATGGACTTTGGAACCATCCAATTGGTGTCTTGCCTTAATGTTGTGGGGATATCATATAGTATGATATAGTGAGTGGGGTTTTGAACCACCAAAAAGATAAAATAAGTCAAATAAGTATAATTGCTAGCTATTTATTGTTCTTGTTTGTTCTCATTGTTCTTGCTGTTCAACCAACCAGCTGTTCAATCAGTCATGTTTAGTTCGCAGGGACCCAACTCTGGGCTTGGCTTCAGGAGCTAGCGATATTCATCAACCCTCACCAGCTGTTAAAGTATGATAATCATAGTCACAATCAAGTTTAACCTACCTCAATCCAAATCCCCCAAGAAAAATTGGGTTTAGTTGGAATTAGTCCTTTTTTCCCACCTTTTGGCATTCTTAATCTATACAAAGATAGCCCCAGGAGCCGGCCGTGACGGCGGCCAAGCTGCGAAGTTACCACATCCTCTTCGTGGTCCGTCGCCGGTGTCCCTCCATCGGCAGCTCCTTGGCGGACCTGGGCCTGGCACGGCTGCCGGGCGTGGCCGTCTTGGAGCTGACGCTTGGTGGCGATATGAACAGTTGTAGCAACTTCAAAAGGAGATTGATTTACACATACATATCTGGTTGGTGGTTTGGAACCATGGAATTTTATGACTTTCCATTTCCATTCAGTTGGGAATTTCATGATCCCAACTGACTTTCACTCCATCATTTTTCAGAGGGGTAGGTGGCTCAACCGCCAACACTAGATATGCTTTAGGCAGTTGAGTTCTTTTTCATAGGCAGTCTTTTTGCACAGATGAGCTCTGTCCAGATTTGCCAGGCATGCTGAGTTGATACGGTCTAAGCTCCAGTCCGAGGAAACGCTATGGGAAAGTGATCCCAGAGATGCTCTGCACTCCGTTGCAGCACGGTGACGTGTTGAAAGTGATGGCAAATGCTGCCAGCATTGCCCAACTTCGGAGGAGTTATGACGCTGTGAGGAAATCGGACGACTCACCATTGATTTGGGGCACATGTTTTTGGGAGGGGAGAGCCCTCAATTTTTTCCTTTTTTTACATGGGAACATCACTCAAGAACCCCATTTATTGGAGTCAATTCAATGGGGCTTCAAGAAGCTTGGGCCATTGGCGTGGGATGGATCCAAATAGTGCGTGGGATTGTACGTTGCTACTTCATTATGCCGGTATGGGCATGTATGCATGTAACAAAGCTGGCATTAGAAAAGACATATTCTGGTTGGTGGTTTAGAACATTTGTTATTTTCCATAATATATGGGATAATCCTTCCCATTGACTTTCATATTTTTCAAGATGGTTATTGCACCGCCAACCAATATGTGTTTTAGATATCACTGCGCATGAAACAAACATTCAAAGTCGCACCGTTAACAGCTGGCGGTCACAAAAAGGGCCAGCTGTGGTTTTAGACCATCGCCTCCAGGGACACGGCCAAAATCTGTCAGTTCATCATAGGTTTCTCTTTGATCAATGGATTGGTTTAAGGCTTAATTAAGGGAAAATCTACAGGAAACCATGGTTTTTACCATCAAATATAGGGCCCAGGGGGTTCCTGTAAATTTTCCCATCATCCCGTTCTATGATTTGAAGATTTTGAAGATTTTGGGCATCAAGGGGCATCAGCGGGCCCCAGTGCTCAGGATGGCCTGGAGCCAGCCGTGCACCGAGACTTAGATATCTTGGGAGGCCGTCGTAGGCACCGCAGGCTCTTTGAAGTGGTGCTCGGAGCACCAACAGCTGAAGTGGGGGATGGGGCTGAGGCCATCAGGCTGGTGGAGTTGGACTATGATTTTCCAACCGAATCCTGTTGGTGGGTGCACCCAACACTGATTGGTGGTTTGGAACATGGATTTTATGAACTTCCATATGTTGGGAATTTCATCATCCCAACTGACTTTCACTCCATCATTTTTCAGAGGGGTAGGGCTCAACCACCAACCAGGTAATGTCAACCCCGGATGGAAAATCACCATGGTTAACTATGGAAAATCACCATGATCTAGCTGGGAAAATCCACTATTTCGACTGGGTCATTTTCAATAGCAAACTGCAACAGTCATTACCAGAGGGTAGGAATTTCGAACTTGGGGGTGGTCCCACTGGACTAGGTTTTGGGATGGTGAAGATGGTGACCGGATTCCCATGTTCCACATGAATCCTTCAACAGGTACCCTGGGGCAAACTAACATAGATGTGCAACATCCATTACTGGTAGATTATTTATATACTGTTTTCCTAAGGAAACCGGAAACCATGGGTTTACTAAGTTACTACATCTTTTTGTATGTTGACCCATGTTGACCCCGTATCCCTGCAGCTGAGGCAAACTCTGAGCTGCTCAAGGCTCCACTGCTGGAGCAGAAGCAGAGACTGCTCCAGATGGGTTGTGTGACCTGGCCCAGCTATGTCTATTTGCCACCTGAAATAAAAGTTTCATCACACCTGGGATGATGATGATGATGATGATGATGATCATGATCATGATGATGATGATCATGATGATCATGATGATCATGATGATCATGATGATCATGATGATCATGATGATCATGAACATGACCATTAACATGAACTACTTTTGACTTTCATTTCCAGGATAATTAGGTTGCTCAACCACCGGCCACTCTATATCGTTTAATGTCATACTCATGATTGCAACATGTATGAAATCAAAGTTGTCTTGCTGAGTAAAGATGCAGCCACATGTGTTGCACGTAGGAATGAAGTCGGATAAGACCCTTCTGTGGCAGGTAAGGGTAAGGCCCCACTGGTAGGGGTGCTTACCAAGGTTTACTGGTTGTATCACCCTGGGCTGGGCGGTTCCAGGTTACAATTTACAAGCTCCACTGGTTCCATCTTTTTTCCTGGTGCTTGATCGATGCGTATTGTAAGATTCGCCCTTGTCTCCATGATTGTTGGCGTTTAACAAGCCTTTAGAAAATCCTTGCTATTGGGTGGGTATGTGGATCGCCAGGGGGAATTGTGCCATTGTCTTCGCTATATCCACATCACGGCTGGTTTTTTGCTTTGATTTTTGCTGGTGAATTTCCGCCTTCATACCAGATACAGGGTTTGTTGAACATGTGTACATGTGGTTACGTTTTCAAACCCCATGTTCTCCAGATTTTTATCTGAGGATTATCCCTGTTCCTGCTACATTGGTAGATTACGTCATGTCAGGTCTGACGCGAAAGACCACACAAGTGGAGACCCTAGCAAAAACAGAGTGGACGGAAAGCATTGCGGCAATGGAGGACGCCTAACGCAGAACACCTGTGCTGTGGCCAGACCAGAAAGCCTCTTGGAGGCGGAGGGAGGGGTCGACTAACCCTGCAACAGTGACGTTTGAAGCCTGGGGCACAGAAGCTGGCAGGATTGAGGCCAAAAGCGACCTTTCCACAGGGAGTGGCCAGCGAAAACAAAGGGCTGGGGAGGATGTTCCTGCTCCAGCAGTTCTGCTTGCCGGCGCATGGCGGCTCGTGCACAGTGGCTGTGACCGCTGCGACTACGGGGAGTTCTTGCAGAAGATCACCGTGCAGAGTCCAAGCATCAGCCAGCTTTCGCAATTTGCCAAAATCTGCAGCAAAACTTTGATAGATTTTGATATACTACGTCCCATCCAACAGTGGATCCAGCAACAAAGGATAGGAAACGAACCCCTTGCTAGTTTGTGATCCGTTCAAGCCTCCATTTAAATCCCATTTTTAGAATGCTGTTAGCTTGCTAAATCCGCATTTATCATGCCAAAAGGGGTCACCTTATTTGTGGGTTATCCCGCTGTATCAGTCTGTATGGTATCATCAATGCATCACAATATGTCCATAAAATGGTTAGTTGGTTCTAATTTTACATTTGATATATGCATGGCATGCGTTCTCTATATATTTTTGCTTGTTACGCATATATGGTTAAATCATGTTAAATCCCTCGTTTATAGCCACTTACAGCGTTGTTGGTGCCCCATGACTCATGACCCTGTCCCGTGTCAGGTGATTTTAGCCCTGCGACATCCCGATGGTGGAGGGGCAACACCAAGTGGTCACATCGCCGCTGGAGACATTTTGTTAGTGGAAGCTCGGTGTTGGTGCCCTCTAGTCCTGACACTCTTAATGTATGTATACATATGTATACCATCACCAAGCATGTGTGGCCTGGGTTTGTTTAAAATGATTTTTTATTTTCCCAATGGACAATCCACCATTTGGGGAATCTATAGTGATTGTTTTTTATTTTTTGGGAACCTCTTAAGCAAGTCAAAGGTGGGAAAACCTTCAATTTTGAGGGAAAACCTTCAACTTTGAGGGAATTTTGACTGTCAATGACCAGGAGCTGACGATTAAAATCTGAGGTGAGTTGCTAAATGGGATGCCCCCCTCACAGTGGATGATCGCCACCCAGACAACCAGATCATGTTGGTCTGAAAAGAGGATGAGCCCTGATTTGATGGCTTAAGATGAGAATTTGCACAGGTCTTGCGTTTTAACTGGTGGCTTGTGTTTTATGGATTGGGCTCCCCCAAATAGGCACCAAACTCTGCATTTTGGACCAAAGAAAAACCATGCCACTCTCATGGATTCATGGCTCACAGGTGGAACAAAAAAGATAAACCACAAGGCAATGCAAGTTTGAGTCACCTTAATTATCATACATGTTACATATAATTATAACTTGTAACCAGGTCATTCAATTTTTTACTACATATATACTTACTACATACTTAGCTCAAAGCAACCCATCCAAGATCCAAAAGTCAAATCATTGTCATTGTCATAAAAGGCTGGGAAATTTTTAAAATTCAAAAAACGCTGGGAGAAGATAGGGTTATGGACTCCCTTAATTGATTTTGTTTTTTCAAATAAGAAATTTGAAAATTTTAAAAACATATTAGGGTTTTTAAATGAATCTCTTAAACGATTTTTTCTCAAATAAGCAAATTTGAAACTTCAAAAAAGGCTAGGAGAAGATAGGATTATGGATTCCCTTATTATGCCCTTATTTGATTTTTTTCAAATAAGAACTTTAAAACAAAACTAGGATTTTATATGAATCTCTTAAACGATTTTTTCTCAAACAAGCAAATTTGAAAATTCAGATAGAATTATGGATTCCCTTAAACGTTTTTTTTTCAAATAAGAACATTTTAAAATTCAACAATGGCTGGGGGAAGATAGGATTATGGATTCCCTGAAACGATTTTTTTTTTTACCTAAGAAAAAAATAAAATTCAAAAAAGGCTGGGAGAAGATAGGATTATGGATTCCCTTATTTGTTTTTTTTCAAATATATATATATATATTTTTTTAATACTATGGTTTTATATGAATCTCTTAAACGATTTTTTTCCCTCGAAAACGATTTTGTTTGTGGCTTGTGTCCCCTGGATTTTTTTTTTTTGTGTGTGTGTTTTTGGTCAACAAAAAAAATGTGGGGGACGCAAACCAATTATAATCAATTTCGGTCCCCCAAAATTTGTTTTTCGTTTATCAAAAACACCAAAAAAAACAAAATCCAGGGGACACAAGCCACAAAAAAAATCAAATAAACTTATTTGAAACAAAAAACGAATAAGCTTTTTGCTTGTGTTTTAAGTTCTGGTCAAAAAAATCACAATCAACTTCAATCAACTGCAAAAAAACAAGGCTGACATTGGTTCTTTCAACAAATTTGCTTCCAAACTGGTTTCTATTGTTGTTTTTCTGTTTTTTTATTTTTTAATTTAGTTTAATTATATAAACAAAAACAATACCCATCTCTCTGACTCTATTCTACTTACAGTTTTCTTAAATCATTTTTCTTATTTTGATTTGATATTTGTTTGATAAATAATAAGGCAATCTTCTCCCAGCCTTTTTTGAATTCTTAAATTTTCTTATTTGAAAAAAAAAATCGTTTAAGGGAATCTACAATCCTATCTTCTCCTATCATTTTTTGATTTTTCAAATTTGCTTATTTGAGGGAAAAAATCGCTTAAGAGATTCATATAAAACCATAGGATTAAAAAACCAATATATATATATATTTGAAAAAAAATAAGGGAATCCATAATCCTATCTTCTCCCAGCCTTTTTTGAATTTTATTTTTTTCTTAGGTAAAAAAAAAATCGTTTCAGGGAATCCATAATCCTATCTTCCCCCAGCCATTGTTGAATTTTAAAATGTTCTTATTTGAAAAAAACGTTTAAGGGAATCCATAATCCTTTCTTCTCCTAGCCTTTTTTGAAGTTTCAAATTTGTTTATTTGAGAAAAATCGTTTAAGAGATTTATTAAAAAAAAACTATTGTTTTTATTATTTTCACATTTCTTATTTGAAAAAAAACTCAAATAAGGGAATCCATAACCCTATCTTCTCCCAGCGTTTTTTGAATTTAAAACTTTTCTTATTAAAAAAAAAACGTTTAAGGGAATCCATAATCCTGTCTTTTCCCAGCCAGGATGTTAGCACAGGACACGCATGCACCAAAAACAGTGCACGGCGCACAGTGGGAAAAAAAAGGCCAGCAGCATCAATTTGGAAGAACTGGGTTCCATGTGTTTTTTTTCTGTTTTGGAACTTGCGCAATAATAAAACACAAGGGCAAACTTATACCGCAAACAAAACAGCTACCTGTGAAAATTGACAGCTTAAGACCTGGTGTTTCCATGTTTTTCCCCCAGTCTGAAAACGGGCTATACTACCAAATTGATTGCAAAAAACATGTGCAAACAGTATGATCAGCTGTTGGACCTCTCATGTTTTCTCAACATTTTCTGAACGCAGTGAATTTGGTCAGTGGTTGCATGTTCTCTCTTAAGATTTTTGCCCCGTTTTCGGATTATGATTAAAAATGGGAGAATCCAAGATGGGATCATTATATGGATCAACTATAAGATTGGTTAACCGGCACTGCTGCAGCCATGCCATCCTGCCACACAGCCGTCCTCGCTAGAAGATTAATTAAGTATTGATTATGGGCTGATTATAGTCAAAAGGGCTATCCATGTCTCTCTCCCATTTTTTGGTTTCAGGTAAAATCTACAGGAAACACATCCTATGTTTGGGGGTAAAAACGCTACTTTCCTGTAATTTTTTCCATGAAATCTACTGTATCCATCGACGACCCCCAACTACCCAGGAAGCGTTCCCCGGAATCGACGGCACCGCGGATTTCGCGGTCATTGCCCCTGTGGACGCCTCCAAACCTCCGCGCTCGGGGAGGCAGCAGGATCGAATGCGTCCCTCGGAGGGTGACTGGAATTTGTGACCTCACTGGAATCATGGTTAGTAGTGTCAACCCCGGATTAATAAACCATGGTTTAATAATATTAATTAGGGGGGTCTCCTCCAATAGTCATAATCTGATACTTAAATGGTACCCTCCCAATTAAACAGCGCTCTGGGGTTTATTAATCCAGGGTTGACATTACAAGGTGGTGCCCCCCAGTTATAAATTGGTTGTAAAGCCATTATATAGCTAGTTCGATATATCACCATATATCACCTACAAACAATAGTGACATTGGAGTTATTTGCACCAACTGAACGCTATCGAACGGGGGCACCACCTTGTAAGGGGAATGATCCTGAAATGGCCAGATATGATAATTTACCCAATCACTCTTGGAAAATCCATGAACATCACGATGTAAGCCAGTAAAGCATCAAAGAAAATGTGGCATGTTCCATTTAGTCGACTGTTAGTTGACCAGAGCGTAAGCAACAAGACGTCGCAGGATCATTCCCCGTCGTCATTGGTTTGTAACAGGGGTTACGTCACCCATGTTATAGATGGGATGACCCTACGAAATGGGGATGATCCTCCAGGTAGCGAAAGTTGCCCCAAAAAAACATGGTTGAAGCCGCAGGAAAAGATGAGGACCAAACCCATGAAGAAAAACATGTGGCAGCCATCAAAACCAACAAAGTATGGATATATATATATGTGTGTGTGTGCGGACACAATCATTATCAAACACGGGCATTTTAACCAACAAAAATACAGCTCAACCATCAAAGACGTCGGTTTCACCATGTTTCAACAATAGATGAGGAGTTGACTCTCAGAAATGGGACAGAAATGTGGATGGCGGTTTCATACTTGTTTGCCAGAATGGATGTGCATATTTATATATATATATAATTTGATGATACATGCTTTTTGTTTGGACAGGCTGTTGAAGATCAGTGATGATGGTGGAGAGCTGCACCAGGAACCTGCAAGGAAACCTTGAAGGAAACCTTGAAGGAAACCCATCAGTTGGCCACATGTTTCGTTCCTTCAAGACCAGCTTGCTACGGAAGCCTTTGCCCTTTTGAAATTCTTTTGAACCAGATTATATAATATTATATACAGATTATAAAAATGACGATTTGCCAATGAATAATGGTGTGTTTCCAGTTCGCTACGTTGAATTACCAGAAGGTATCATGGTCGATTTTGTACTTTTGTTTTTTTTCTGGTAATCAAACCAGCTGATCCAGGTCCCTTGGATCAAAGCCCGGTGCCATCTTGCTCCCTGTTTTTCACACCATTTCAGAACGGTCATAATGCAGTCTAGAGTCTAGATCCAATAACCGACTAATCCACATCCCAGTATGTTTTCTATGCTGGGCTACTAGGTATGAAAAACCCAACGTAAAGATCGAAACCAAGCCATGAAACATCCCAGGCCCACCCAAAAAAGCGGGTTCTTATTGGGTTTGCCACATGAATCGCTTCCCTTTGATATTAACTATACCTGATTTGTTCGTTTTTGGGTGCCCGCATGGAGGATAGAGGATTGGTAGAACCACGTTGATCCCACATGATCCCAACGAACAGCTGGAAATCCCCGAGGCGGACTGCTGTGTTTGGTCGGTTTCATCGTGGTGATCCTATGCAACGGCTTCAGCCCTGGACTCAAACTCGGGCGGACCAGCCTGGGCAAACATGAAGCGGTGGATAGTGGGATAACCCATGAGAAGTATCAAAGAACGTGATATGTGATGTTGTTGTGATCTTCATCTAGTTCAGTTTTGGATAGGTGGATTTAGTAGTGGTTGGTGGTTTGGAACATGGATTTTATGAACTTCCATATGTTGGGAATTTCATCATCCCAGCTGACTTTCACTCCATCATTTTTCAAAGGGGTAGGGCTCAACCACCAACCAGGTAATGTCAACCCCGGATTAGTAAACCATGGTTAACTATGGAAAATCACGATGTTTATATAATGGGAAAATCCACTATAAATGGTCATTTCCAATAGCTATGTAACAAATTAGAGTAGTAATTACTCTCCAGGTGAACGAGACGCGGATTCACCGGATCCAGGTTTTTTCGGGGGTTGTCAAATGTTGTCAACCAAGCGCCCGGTGTTCTTTGTCTACATGATTTTCCAACGCATAAAAATGATCATCAAATATCATCAATGTCAGCAGATATGTATAAAACCCCATGGCATGATGCAAAAAAATGTATTCTTTTGCAGTATGCACACGGGGTGAAACCTTATTGAGGCATTCTTCCTCTTGCTACTGCCGTGCTTGTTTTGGAGCCTCGGCATCTCTACCCAAAATCAACGACGGTGAAGCTGCGCATATCCGTGTGTCACCCGTCTAGATTGACATAGGCATAGGGGTCATAAAGGTTACAAATAGATGCAAATGATAACTAGATAGACAGACAGATCGATCGATGAGATGAGATGGGATGGGATGCGATGAGATGAGATGAGACTTATAGATAGACAGAGAGACAGATAGGCAGGGAGGCGGGTAGGCAGGTAGACAGATAGCTTGATAGACAGATAGACAGGTAGACAGCAAGAAATATGGATAGGAGAGCTATGACAGCTATGATTAGAGTAAATTAGATTATAGTTATAGTTAATATATTGGATCCAAGTCGGACAACGAAGATAGGATCATGCAGTTCAGACAGCACATCTGGCTGCATCATTTCGCCATCCTTTGCCAATCCAATGCACCTCCATCCGTCTGTCCATCCATTTATCTACAAATATGTGCAACACACACATTATATAATAGATATTATATTCATATTTATAGTATATATATAAATATTTATTTATGTTTTTATTTGTTTTATTTATCTATCTATTAATTTATAGTAGCAGATGATTACATATAAAGCATTACACAACATACTTCCATTGCCCTGTGCCACTCCACTCGCCTCCGCGCCAGCTGAGGACTTCCTGTGCTGTTTCGCAAAGGTCCTGGGATGGCGCGAGGCCCTGCAGTCAGTGTATCTTGACCAGTTCAGGCCATCTTCGAATGGTGATTTAATGGTGATTGAACCAACACAAATGGTGATTTAGCCAAGAAAAATAGGGATTTCATGGTGATTTCATGGGAATGTCCATGGTTGATGATGGGTAAAACAATGCCATAAACCACCCATGACTGGGAATGGTTTCTAGTAGTTTATACCACCTTTAAAAATGGTGATGACTGGAGGATGGTTTATGATTGTTTTACCCAAATTAGGTCAGTTTCCCACGGGAAACCCATGGGTTTTCCATACTTGGGGGATCCACAAATCGTAATTGATTAGTAACTGGGGTTGGTTCACCCACACATCTCAATGTGATAGTCCCAGGAATGGTGGGCTTACTAGCCATGGAAAAAAAATCCCCTATGGTAATTGGGAATCTCTTTGGACATCTGTTGGTAAATACCTGAAGTGAACAGAAACATATTTAGAAACTGTTCAAGATGCTACGGTAATCCCTTTGGCTTCAACCAAGGAATGGCGGCGTTATCATGACCATCGCTTCCTCCTTCGGAATCTCTGCCGCGCTGACTCAGACGGGCGCCGAGCCTTGTTTTTTTTAATATTCAGGCATGCTGTGGGGGAGGTGTGGTAAAAACAGCAAGAAATAAAATTACTGGTTGGTGGTTTGGAACATTTTTTATTTTTCCATATATTGGGAATAATATGGAATAATAATCCCAACTGACTGATATTTTTCAGAGGGGTTGAAACCACCAACCAGATTACATAAAGTTATCCTTGAGAGGAATTTGTTGTTGGGGAATTGTTTTACTTATATCCAAATCGATCAAATCGAAAATAATTAGGCAGCTAGATTGCAGTTATATCTAACTATTGTTTACTCATGCTGCTTCTGGGCAGAAGAAAACACTTTCTTTGTCTTGTCTTTGAATGGAGGATCATGTATAGCACTAGTTGAGATACATCTTTCAGATGGTTTGAAAATGTGGCCCGGGGAAATCCCAATGGAGGCGCCTTCAATCGCCTTCGTGTTTTTAATGGGAAGACCATCTATCTATGAATCAAGCCATTGAGGATTTGTTTCAGACAGATAGACCTTCAGGAATATAACGGATAGAAAATGATAGAAAGTCCTGATGAAAAGGCGATTTGTTTAAGTGGTTCGGCTGCCCGATTGGACTGAAGATGGTGGGAGTATTGGATGCGGAAAGCATGAGAAACTAGTTCCGCTTCCCCCTATCTAAATACCCATTAAGTTCAGGGATTTTCCAGCTAGCCATGCTTGATTACCGGAGGACAAGTGTACATTGCCCCTACTTAGCCCATTTATAACTAGCGACTATTTATTTGTTAATCAAACGTGCAGTGGATTATGGATATATAGATATATAGATATATAGATATATAGATATATAGATATATAGATATAGATATAGATGATTTTCCGATTGAAACCTTCATAAAAATGATGGATTTCCATGGCTTTCCCGACCATCTTTGAGAAAACACCGCGTTGCCGCGGGCACCGGAAAGGGTACCGCTTTCCACGAGGCGCACGCCTTGGCCAATGCCCTACTCTCGGCCGGCCTGAGTTTCGGGCCTTTGGGGGTGCTGATTACACTCTACACGGGCACTGCGCTGCTCACCAACATCATTAGCAACACAGCAGCTTGTTGCGGATCCTAAAATTGTTTTTCGCTTAATTGTCACTCTGAAAGTATATATGGGACAATTGGTGAATCAACTATGCTTTGCGGTGGATATAAGTATAGTTATATTTTGATGGGATGAAAAATATCCAAAGAATTCTGTATTTACGGTAAACCCAATAGTGAGCCATCCCCAAGTCACTTGGTAGGTTTAATTTGGGGTAAAGCCCAGCCCTAGGCGGCTCACCCCACGGATTCTAAGTAGGTTATATCATGTAAAAACTCCCTGGTTAGTGGGATAAGCATTAGCAGCATGGATAAGTAGCGTTAATCCACCTACAACTGGGGGGAATTTGTCCACGAATTAACCTACTTAGAATCCGTGGGATGGAGCACCAAGTCTCCAATGGATTGGAGCGAGCGAGTTGGAGCTACTAATTGAGAGCTTCCCAACCATATGATGGTTGGAGTTGCTGTTTTTTTTTGGGGATGATTTATTGTTCCACTTCTAAATCATTTAATCATATTATTTAATCCACAATTTCGGGAATCCATTAGGAAGATGTTCTGTTTAAACAAATCCAAGGCCACCTGCGTGATGATGATTCCAGTGGCTGCGCATATCTCTGAAGAGCTGCAAGGAATGGAGAATTCTGAATTGAACTTGAATCTCGGCACTGTCGTTGCGATTCTACAGATCTTGTTTCTAGACATGTGGGATATTACGCTTAAAAAAAATGCAATTTTTCAGGAAACTGAGGAGACACCATTGGGTTTTGGGGTTTTACCCAAGACAAAGCTGGAATGAATTGATGATTCGCCGGAGAGGTGATCTGGAAAACCTATGAAAACCTGGCATCCGCCATTCCCGATGGATGCCCCTTCTGATTGGGAAAGCATCATTCCGTATGGATGGTGGGCATTGCGACCTAAATATGATTTATATTGATTTATCTCCTGGGTTTTGACCATTTTTGACCTAAATTCCAGGAAGACGCTGATCATCATGGTCATTCTGGCTTCCAACGCAGCGTTTGCCACACCCCTGGGGTCACCTTGCAATCTCTTGGTGGTGGATGCTGGCGATTATGAATTCCGCTACCTGGCAGTTGAGGTCTTCTCAGTTCTTGCTCGTTTCAAAATTTCGACAGAACTATGCAGATTCAAGCACCAATACTAGTGCGGATTCACCAATGTATGGTAGTAAATACCAAAACAGAAAATTTGAGGGATGTGGTTGATGCTCTAAAACCCTTAAGAAAAAATAGAAAAACAGGTGCAACCACTGCAACCAGTGGTGGAGATAGCCACTGGGGATATCGTTGGTCCTTTGATCCTCCATCCTCGACTTTCATGTCTTTGGACGTGTGCAGACCACCAGTCAAGTTGCGTTTTTTCCTGATGAAAAGACAGAGGGAGACTACTTGTGTTTGATGATGTTTGTCACTTGTTTTTCAAGTCTATATTTGACTGCTACCGGCGACCCCAACAAAATGCTGCCTCGGAACGTTGCCGGTGCAGCGCAGAAGCTTCTCCTAGGAGACTTTCTGCGCTTCGGAGGGATGCTTCAACTGGTCTTGTTAGTGTCAACTTGCACCCTGCTCTACGCGTGTCCGTGTACATAACCTCTGGGCAAACGAGATCATGGCGAGATCATCCAACAAGTTGAACAAGTCATGGTGAAAAATGTCGTGATATTTTCTCAGGTCTTGCCTGGATGGTGTTACTTTGCAGTTTGAATTTTCAGAGACTTTTAGGGCAACTTGAAACAGCAGCTCCGGCGCACTTTTGTCCATGCGCCGCATTTGAAGTAGAGATGTTTCGCCGTTTCGATGTAAGAATTGTTCCGCCAAACCCTGGGAGTCGAGCCAAAAAAGTCGAGAGTTTTATTTGGGTCCTGGCCGTGTTTTTTCCAGCCTGCAGGCAAAAAAACAACAACAAAGATGCCTAGAACAGTGAAATCTGAGTAAGATAGTGGTCATTTACTGTTCGTTTATTCTTTTAGGGGTTTACCAGAATGGCTATAAGTGCAAAGTACCCTAGCCCTAGCCCACGGACAATTCACGGTTCAAAAGCAGTGCTGGGGCCAGCAACCTGAGCCCCTAAGAGCGTTTGTTAAAGCGTACTGTAGCACTTGTAAGCCCAATGATACACCCCAAGATTACAAGAGTTTTACAGTTATCCAACATCCGAGCACTAAATTGCTTGATATACTGTGTGATCGCGTGTCTCTTGTGATTGGGTCTACCAATGCTGGTTAGTGGGTCCATGTTTCCTTGACTACCTGGGATGATGATTTGAGTCCATGTGCATATGGGGATTGTTTCAAACCATCAGCTGGAATGCTCATTGCCATCCACTAGAGACGGTTGAACTTTTTTCACAGCATACAGTTGTATCAATTAATTATACAGATCTAGGGTGTGAGTATGTATGAGTTATATAAGCACCTTTTGTATGTTAACAGCTATGGAAAATCACCCTTGTCAATAAATCATTGGTAAAAGGACAATTTTCCATTGATATGTAAACAGTATGCGCTCTGTCTTTTTTGGGGGGGCGGCGTGCTTCCCCCTCAGCACAACAAGAAAAACGTGACATCCATTACCAGCTCTTTCTGCAATGAGATAGAGGAGGTATGATAGACCCCATCATTTTGGAATTGAATTGGATTCATTTGCGTCTTTTTTTGGGGTTGCTATAATTTGGGAAAAACAATAATAAGCCACCCATTTGGGAATGGTTTATACCAACTATTTATAATTAGTGAAATTGGGGATTGTTTAGTTTATTAATTATTGCTTTAACGACATTAGTCTTCTTTTTAATTCCTCCGCAGGCGCGGGGCTACCGATTTCGTAGCGGGGTCATGACGTCGTAGTGTCGTCGCGTCGTAGCGTCGCGCCGGGCATGGGAGGCGCGGATCTGGAGATGGAGAAAACCGGCGAATGTTGGATATGTTTAGCAGGTCAAAATATGTCAAATCATGGGAAACTATAGGAAAATCCACTATCAATGGAGGTGTCAATAGGACATCCTGGAGTTGCGGAAGAGGATGTTTAATTTTCCCAGGACATGCACTATTTCAAGTGGAGAATTCATGGGTTTATTTTTGGGGGTTCCTGAAGCAAATCCAAAATAGCTGGATCAACTTTAACTGGATAGTTCAGTGCTTTAAGATACTCTAAGGGTTCGCTCGACATGGAGATGTCAGCACAAATCAGCACCAAAAGAAAGGTATCCATGATTGGCCATGAAATGCAGAATGATCAGAATGGTTTCATCTTCAAAATTAATTTTGGTGACCATTGCATTCTCGGGTACCTAAATTTGACCCATACCCCAGGTTGGTTATTATATATAGTTATCGTCCAATTTTCAGATAATATGAGGGGATTGCTCCACTTGGGATTTTAGTTCTGATTACTAGCTATATGTGTTGATGAAATCCAGTCCTTCCATCAGCTACAGTCTACATGATGAAGAAAAAAACACCCAAACTGCCACATCCCAAAGTCACGCATTGCGTCACAGGGTTTGTGAAATGTCCACACTTTCTCAATGGATATTTGTTTATATCCACAGCGAAAGATGCTGGGGATCCCCGGCTTAGGGTCGAATCTTAAAGCTATGGAGACTCCAAAGACGCAGATGAGATGGGTAGGAACTAAACACAACTTGGCTCAGGAAGACTGAACCTGAAACGATTGCAAATGATAGAATCAAATGGGTATAGGTTAAAACATATTAAAACCTCTATTTATAACAGTATGTTTGGAGGCATGAACTTCCTGCTATACCAGCTACTTTGGGGTTCACCAAGGGGGGTCCATGGGTTTTGGCCCATACCAAATTGAATTTTATCTGCGGCTCAAAGTGTAAGGTCCGGATCAAGGGTTAAAACACACAGGCGATCCATACCCCCAATCCATTCCAAAACGCAGGTGACCCAGACCGATCTATATATATATATTATATATATATATTATATATATATATAGGTATGGATCATCGCGGAGCAATCACGCTCTGGTCATCAGTCACATGGCCTGGAAAATCCCGCACAGCTGATGTTCCCAGTCCACGGATTTCCCACGTTTGACACCGCAGAGGCCTCCGAAGCTGCGGAGAGCTGATGGTGGCACCGGCCAGGCGATCGAGCCGAAGCGTGGTAACCTCTGGTAACTTGGAGATCTTGGCACGAGAGACGGTGACTTCAAGCCATGTCGGATCATGCTTTTCCATATTATACTCTCTGGTATACAAAAAGCTATGGAAAATCACCAATATCCATGGGTAAATCAACGAATTATTTCTATGGCCATGTCCAATAGCTACGTTAAATTACCGGATGGTAATCTTTAGTAACTCTGAAAAGGTTTAGGTCTTTGCTTATTGAAATTGACATCCAGAATTTTCAAATTCTTCAATGAGTAAAATTTGTTCCAGATCAGTCTTGTTCCGCGTCCTGTTTCGTTTGGTCGGTTGATGGGTGTCCCCGATATGCTGTAAGGCCATTCCAATGGACAAATGATAAACCGTCAAACTTGTCAAGCTCTTTGTCCAAGAATTGGGTGTTGACGCTGGTGGCCATTACTTGTACCAGTCAGATTTGGAATATGTTTGGTCTCATTTTTGAAGACCAATCAATTGTATTCCACCATATTCCCTATTACCCCCCGCTAATCAAACATGGCTTGCTGGAAAATGCAGAGGGAGAGAGAGAGAGAGAGAGAGTTCGATGATGTTCCCGCCAAGAAAACATCAAAACCTATTCTTTACAGATTGTTCAAAGGATTTTCTAGAATTTGTTGTTTTTTTTCCAGCTATAAACCCTTCATTTTTTGATCCGTCCGGGGATCTACCAGCTTGCGTCTCGATCCCTGGGGAGGACATCCAGGGTGGACCCAGAGGTCTTCCAGGTCCACGGCCAGGCGGATGTCCTTTTCCCGGCCTGGTTGATTAATAGAGGGGTTTGAAGAAACCCTTGGAAACAACATGTAAATGATGATAGATGGTTTGATAAATGTATAGTCCTGTTGACTGGGGATTTTGAAAATCATCTTCCAACAAGTATTTGTTGGTGATTATTATTAATATCTATATGTATATATATATATATCCCCAATAGTTGGGTGAACATCTCAATTAGGATAGGAAAACCAACCCCTGTTGACCAAATATATATATATATATTAGGCTGTCGCTCTAACACGTTTTCTTTATCCATTACTGCTCCCTTAACTTTCCATTACTGCTCCCTTAACTTTCCATTACTGCTCCCTTAAATTTTCCAAATTTTCCATTACTGCTCCCTTAACTTTCCATTACTGCTCCCTTAAATTTTCCATTACTGCTCCCTTAACTTTCCATTACTGCTCCCTTAACTTTCCATTACTGCTCCCTTAAATTTTCCATTACTGCTCCCTTAACTTTCCATTACTGCTCCCTTAATTTTCCATTACTGCTCCCTTAACTGTTCCCTTAACTTTCCATTACTGCTCCCTTAACTTTCCATTACTGCTCCCTTAACTTTCCATTACTGCTTCCCTTAACTTTCCATTACTGCTCCCTTAACTTTCCATTACTGCTCCCTTAACTTTCCATTACTACTCCCTTAACTTTCCATTACTGCTCCCTTAACTTTCCATTACTGCTCCCTTAACTTTCCATTACTGCTCCCTTAAATTTGCCATTACTGCTCCCTTAACTTTCCATTACTGCTCCCTTAAATTTTCCATTACTGCCCCCTTAACTTTCCATTACTCCTCCCTTAAATTTTCCATTACTGCTCCCTTAACTTTCCATTACTGCTCCCTTAACTTTCCATTACTGCTCCCTTAAATTTTCCATTACTGCTTCCTTAACTTTCCATTACTGCTCCCTTAATTTTCCATTACTGCTCCCTTAACTTTCCATTACTGCTCCCTTAAATTTTCCATTACTGCTCCCTTAACTTTCCATTACTGCTCCCTTAAATTTTCCATTACTGCCCCCTTAAACTTTCCATTACTGCTCCCTTAAATTTTCCATTACTGCCCCCTTAACTTTCCATTACTGCTCCCTTAAATTTTCCATTGCTGCCCCCTTAAATTTTCCATTACTGCTCCCTTAAATTTTCCATTGCTGCTCCCTTAAATTTTCCATTACTGCCCCCTTAACTTTCCATTACTGCTCCCTTAACTTTCCATTACTGCTCCCTTAAACTTTCCATTGCTGCTCCCTTAAACTTTCCATTACTGCCCCCTTAACTTTCCATTACTGCTCCCTTAAATTTTCCATTACTGCTCCCTTAACTTTCCATTACTGCTCCCTTAAATTTTCCATTACTGCTCCCTTAACTTTCCATTACTGCCCCCTTAAATTTTCCATTACTGCTCCCTTAACTTTCCATTACTGCTCCCTTAAATTTTCCATTACTGCCCCCTTAAATTTTCCATTACTGCTCCCTTAACTTTCCATTACTGCTCCCTTAAATTTTCCATTACTGCTCCCTTAAATTTTCCATTACTGCTCCCTTAACTTTCCATTACTGCTCCCTTAACTTTCCATTACTGCTCCCTTAACTTTCCATTACTGCTCCCTTAACTGTTCCCTTAACTTTCCATTACTGCTCCCTTAACTGTTCCCTTAACTTTTCATTACTGCTCCCTTAACTTTCCATTACTGCTCCCTTAACTTTCCATTACTGCTCCCTTAACTTTTTCCATTACTGCTCCCTTAACTGGGGGAAGTTAAGGGAGCAGTAATGGGGCCCCTGGGGGCCAATTTGGAAGCCAATTTGGAAGCCAATTTGGGGACTCGAAATCATGGATTTTTGGCGAATTTTGGACCCCCAAACGGACCCCAAAACCTCCATTACTGCTCCCTTAACTGGGGGAGTTAAGGGAGCAGCGAGGGAAGGGAGCAGTAATGGTTTTTACAACCTAATTCCCATTCCTGCTCCCTTAACTTTTTCCATTACTGCTCCCTTCCCGGGGGGGGAGTTAAGGGAGCAGTAATGGGGCCCCTGGGGGCCAATTTGGGGACTCGAAATCGTTTCACCAAATTCGGCATAGCATTTTGGCTTTGGTAGCTTACGGTCCCAGACTTTGCCCTTGACTTGATGGAGAAAGTTAAGGGAGCAGTAATGCAGAAAATGGAGAAAGTTAAGGGAGCAGTAATGCAGAAAACGGAGAAAGTTAAGGGAGCAGTAATGCAGAAAATGGAGAAAGTTAAGGGAGCAGTAATGCAGAAAATGGAGAAAGTTAAGGGAGCAGTAATGCAGAAAATGGAGACAGTTAAGGGAGCAGTAATGCAGAAAATGGAGAAAGTTAAGGGAGCAGTAATGCAGAAAATGGAGAAAGTTAAGGGAGCAGTAATGCAGAAAATGGAGAAAGTTAAGGGAGCAGTAATGCAGCAAATGGAGAAAAGTTAAGGGAGCAGTAATGCAGAAAATGGAGAAAAGTTAAGGGAGCAGTAATGCAGAAAATGGAGAAAGTTAAGGGAGCAGTAATGCAGAAAATGGAGAAAGTTAAGGGAGCAGTAATGCAAAAAATGGAGAAAATTAAGGGAGCAGTAATGCAGAAAATGGAGAAAGTTAAGGGAGCAGTAATGCAGAAAATGGAGAAAGTTAAGGGAGCAGTAATGCAGAAAATGGAGAAAGTTAAGGGAGCAGTAATGCAGAAAATGGAGAAAGTTAAGGGAGCAGTAATGCAGAAAATGGAGAAAGTTAAGGGAGCAGTAATGCAGAAAATGGAGAAAGTTAAGGGAGCAGTAATGCAGAAAATGGAGAAAGTTAAGGGAGCAGTAATGCAGAAAATGGAGAAAGTTAAGGGAGCAGCAATGCAGAAAATGGAGAAAGTTAAGGGAGCAGTAGTGCAGAAAATGGAGACAGTTAAGGGAGCAGTAATGCAGAAAATGGAGAAAGTTAAGGGAGCAGTAATGCAGAAAATGGAGAAAGTTAAGGGAGCAGTAATGCAAAAAATGGAGAACATTAAGGGAGCAGTAATGCAGAAAATGGAGAAAGTTAAGGGAGCAGTAATGCAGAACATGGAGAAAGTTAAGGGAGCAGTAATGCAGAAAATGGAGAAAGTTAAGGGAGCAGTAATGCAGAAAATGGAGAAAGTTAAGGGAGCAGTAATGCAGAAAATGGAGAAAGTTAAGGGAGCAGTAATGCAGAAAATGGAGAAAGTTAAGGGAGCAGTAATGCAGAAAATGGAGAAAGTTAAGGGAGCAGTAATGCAGAAAATGGAGGCAGACATAGGCTCTAAAGAGACCCCTCAAAAACGTGGTAGAGCGACACCCTAAGCTATACTGTTTTGGTGCCTTTTATGAAGTCCCGCGGCTCCTGTGGTCCCAGGGATTCCTCGCCGATGCATTCCTTCAACTGTGAAGCCGTGCTGAACAATCCGAAACTTTGTTTTTCCTGCAGCTTCAGCTTTGGAAAAATGGTCACAACAACAAGGCAGGTTCATGCTTGCAGGTTTGGTGATTCTTTCTTTTGATGGTTGTCTGGTGAGGTCCAACATATTGTGCACCTAACTCGATGGAACCTGAAAGCCGTTTATGCCATTGCGGCACGACTTGAACACGGTCCCGGAGGGGAGTAACGCACGACCATTAGGAATTTAGGAACTGAGTCCTGTTTTCAATTTTTCTGTGTTTTTCACCAACTAGTTCCCCATTGGTCCCCTATTTCATGCTTTCTTCCCTCCCCAGGTAGGTCGGGTCCGTTGCGTGCTGAGGTTTTTGTAGGTTTTCGCTGTGTCAGGTTGGTTCAGGCACTTCCGTCTTCCCCCCCCTCCGCTGGTCTTGGTCCGTGTCCGTCGGCCTCCGCTTTTTTCTTTTCCCTTGCCTTTTCAGGGTTCGCCCGCTCCGGGCTAGGTGTGTTGGTGTGTGTTTGCTCCTTCCCTCTTCTTTTGCGTTCCCCTCTTCGCGTCCTGGATACGTAACGTTCATCTCATCTTCACTCTCATCTCATTTTCATCCCCCGTTCATCCTCATCTTCATCTCATTTTTACGCGCACCGGAGGCTGTGTGTGTGTGCAACAGTGTGTGTGTGTGTGTGTACCGCCTGAATAGACGCAAAACTTCTGGTGCAATCTGTACCATTCGTCTATTTATATTATATTATATTACAATTTATGGCAGGGGATCACCGGGGTCCCGGGGGGTCGGTGATCAACGAAGACACCCCCCCGGACCTGTGTAAACGTACCTGCGGGACTGTGGTGACGCACCTGGGCGCATTTAAGTCGCAGCTGGTGGTCACCATAGTCCCCTATATATATATAACTAATTAATCTAATTGCATGTTACAGGATTCAGTTCCTGACGGATCTATTCACAGATCCATTCTTGTCTAGTGTGTATGTCTGTGTCTCTGTGTCTCTGTGTCTCTGTATCTCTGTCTCTGTCTGTATGTCTGTCTGTCTGTCTGTCTCTGTCTGTGTCTGTCTCTGTCTCTGTCTGTGTCCGTGTCTGTGTCTGTGTGTCTGTCTGTGTGTCTGCTCGATGTAGTATACCTCAACATCACTTTCAGATGCCAAACTCCGGAAAATCCAACATTCTGCCAGCATTCTGCCAAGGGTCAAAGATAGTGACGCGATTCCAGGAGCCTTTGCTCTTTTTCTTTGGTTTCTTCTCCTTTTCCTCTCCCTCCGTTGCTTCACCCTTGGGTTCTGCCACATCCTGCGGCGGTGCTTGCGACACGTGGACCCTGGAGCTATGTGGAAAACTCACCGTGCCTTGGGGGCGGAACTCAGCAAGCGTCCGCCGTCCTCGGCAGATTCAAGCCATGGTTACTTGGATTTTTTCCCCAGGGAGACTGTATGATACTACATTAGTAACCCCAACTTTCAACAGCCTAGGCTTTATGAACCCAGGGTTGACATTCAGGATCATGATCATCAAGTAGGATGGAAAATGGATGAACATGGACAAAATTCTTTGTCCAATGTTACATAAATATAGGCTATAGGTGCATATCTACAATTGAAACCACAAGAGGGCTTGAAGTAAACTGGCCTCAAGAGGGCTGTGTTTTACAAAAATCCCATCGCTTGAATCGTGGATCCAGTGGACATGTGCCATGCCTGTTTGGGTACTGGGTCCCACAATCGTGGCCAGGAAACCACTTCAGTCAGTGAAGCTGACAGCTGATCTTCCAGCTTGTCCTGGACGGGCAAAGAAAGGACCAAGGAGATAGAAAAATTGCCGGAGGTACCCTCTGGTAAACAAACATAGCTATTGAAAATGGTAATTTACAGTTGATTTACCCATAAAAAAATGGTAGTTTTCCATAGTAGTTATGTTAGATATGTTGGTTTACCAGAGGGTATCATTGCCTGAAAACCTTCGCATGTCTTTTTCCCTCACGTAAATCGCATCAATGCCTTTTCGCATCTTCCACATCAAGAAAAACCTACGCAGTCCCCCAAGGTTATACTATGGTAGTTTATTTACCGTGGCTTGCCCAAGACTTGAGCATGGAAAGAGAATTCTGTCAAAAAATAAACTCAGGTGCTATCCCCAACAGCTTGACAGCTTCTGCGTTATTGCCATAAAAAGTGCTTATGCCATAAAAATTAAACGCTTATGCCATAAACATTAAGTGCTTATGCCACAAAAAAAAATCGGAGCCCTTTGGAATTTCACAAAGCATCTGCACCAGGACCCTCCGGAACCTCACAAGGTATCTGCACCGGAACCCTCCGGAACCTCACCAAGCATCTTCGAGTATATACTTTTTTGTCGGTGCCGGTGGCCGGGTGCCGGTGCCGGGTGCCGGTGCCGGATGCCAGTGCCGGATGCCGGATGCCGGGGCCCTCACCACGCATCTTCACCTAGACCCTCCGGAAGCTCATCAGGTAGCTGCACCGGAAACTTCCGGAACCTCACCAGGTACCTGCACCAAAACCCTCTATATAGAACCTAACCAAGTATCTGCACCGTAACCCTCCGGAACCTCACCGAGTACCTGCACCGGAAACTTCCGGTCACCGAGTACCTGCACCGGAAACTTCCGGAACCTCACAAGGTATCTGCACCGGAACCCTCTATATAGAACCTAACCAAGTATCTGCACCGTAACCCTCCGGAACCTCACCGAGTACCTGCACCGGAAACTTCCGGTCACCGAGTACCTGCACCGGAAACTTCCGGAACCTCACAAGGTATCTGCACCGGAACCCTCCGGAACCGCACAGAACCCTCCGGAGCCTCAGCAGGTATCTTCACCGGAACCCTCCGGAACCTCACGAGGTATCTGCACCGGAACCCTCCGGAACCTTGCCCGGAACCTTGCCCGGAACCTTGCCCGGAACCTGGTGTTGAAGCTGCACCGGATCGCACCGGAGCAAATCTGAGCTAAAGACCCCATAGCAAAGTTTTGCTGTTGGAGAAAAATTGTTGCTCCAACAATGGCTTTACACCCAGCCCCCTAATACCAAACACCTCAAAAGAAAATCAAAAAATGAAGAAGATGTTGTACACCTTATATACATATTTATGTGTATATATATATATATCAAACAGAAAATGGGGAAAGATGATGTTGTTGAGTACCAACGAGAAAAAAAACTATCCCCAATCCCGGTGCCTTCATCTGCACCCGTTCAAGGCCCTGCAGTTTGGTTTGCAGGATGTCCAACTTGTCCTGGCACAGAAAAGCCATGCCGGATCTGCAAGTCAAATGGGGAAGATCATGGGGAGGAACGGTAAACATCATGGGATCTATGGTGGATATATATATATATATATACATAGAACTAACATTAACCAACCATATCACATGGATTTGTCCAGACATATGATGCATACACTAATTTTTACTCTTCTGGTTTTTTGAGCTCCCTGTGGACAGTCTCAACATGCTTTGTGCCAACAGAATGCAACTGGAAATTGGATGAGCAAAACGGGAAATTTGGATTCACATTTCAAAATAGTGGGGAATATCACCAACCACTTGGAACCCATGATCTAAGTTTTGGATGGAGCTGTGCCTGATTATATGCGCCTGGCCTGTGCCATGGTTTGTGCTCATGTGCGCATGGACAGGTGGATGCAAGCAACCCTAGATGGAGTTTTTCCAATCGCTGGCTATAATCAATCTGATTTCATGTCCTCCTTCTTTAGTGGG